GAAATTGGAAAACCAAGGCCCATGGTGCCAAATGAAGGATACTTGGAGTTCTTTGTTGATTGGTAGGTATGGTGCATATTCGAGGGTATGGATATGGAAATAAATCTTACATGTAATTCTGTGTCATAGTATCACTACATATCATGATATTCTGAATGTTTTTGGAAAATCAATTGGGCAAAAATTGGCATGGGCTGTGTCTAAAATCACTCCTTATTTACTATATAGTCTATTTATGTCAGTGCTCAAAGATTGCACAATGGAACGGAAAAGTTAGTGTCCAAGGCACGTGCACTTCTTTCTGATGTTAATCCCACAATGCAATGTGTTGCATTTTAAATATGTGAAAATTACAGTTGTGGTCTATAATTGTTCTCTGTTCCCTGTAGAGTAACACTATGGATTGTTAAATATATAGGGAGTTGTAAATCAGTGATTTCAGATGCAGCCTTGAATGTCTTATTTTTGGCCAATCCTGCAAACTGAATACAAGTCAGATCAAGATATTTCAACACATTGTTGCAACATTTACAACATCGCCCTCAGTGGCCTATTACAGAGACATTAAAGGGAGAACTAAGACGGTATAAACGATTTAGCAAAATAACTAATGGTTCCTGATATATATTTTCATATTCCACATCGTCACATCTTCATAATAGAGACATCGGAATACATTGTATAATAGCAACACAGTTATCAAGTTTCAAACAAACGTAGTTAAGCCCAATTATCTAAAACACTAATAATGATCCATTAAAATATTTCACACAAAACTAAATGTAAATGTGGCCAGTCGTCAAAGTTTAACCAAAAAGTAGCTGCGCAGTATTTTAATATTAAACAATGTGGTACCATTTGTAAGCATTCACGTATAAAAAGCCAGTTTCAATTCAAGTATTGTAACAAAATTACATATTTTGAATTTAAATCAAATGTGAACGTTATTCAGACAAAAATGTTTTCAACAGGAACGCTGTTGAAAACTCCTAAAAATATAAACTCACAATTTGGGGTTGTGCTTTGATGGATACCCTGCCACTAGGAGGTACTGTTGTATCATGGCAAAGACAATTTTACCATAAATATTCAACAGTGTGTGGAGATAGGGTAAGCCACTCTCACTGCTTTCCCTACTTTCTCTTCCTTACCCCTCTCTCACTAACTCAAGTAAGAATAAAACTAATAGATATTCTGTTACCTCACATTTTTATTGTCTTGTTTTCACCTTCCATCACCAGTTCGGCCAATGCAACCCCTGAGTTTGAGGGCAGAGGAGGCGAGGAGCTGGGGACGGAGCTGAGTAACACTCTCTACAAAGTCTTCAACAACAAACACAGCGTGGACCTGAAGAGCCTCTGCATCAGTGCAGGAGAACACTGCTGGGTCCTCTACGTGGATGTGCTGGTGAGTGGTCGTGTCCAACAATGTCCGAAAAGGACAATCCAACATTCAGGCTAACACTTTATGCAGTGATTGTCCAGGTGTTTTGTTTCGAGTGCAACACCATCAAGGACGTAAAGGAAGGAATTAATCCTTGTGGCTCACCCCTCTCTATGACAGATATATATATATATATATATATATATATAGACTTGTTTGTTTCAAACATACCCCGAACTTTATAATAGGCTCAAATTGACAAAAGTCAAGACATACATGCACTACTGCTCAAAAGTTTGACATCACCTGCCACAAAAGCTTCATTTTTTCATCCTTTTAGGTTGTAGAAAGCCCTCTTTAAAAATAGACGAGGAGAACAAAATGCTATACAGTGGTTCAACCAGACTGACAGCTGAAATGGCAGAAAGAGACAAAGATCCCTCTGAGCAACAGTTAAATAAGAATATCAGAGATCGCCAGTCATTGGTAAAAGAAACTGGAAGCCTAGTATCAAAGTATGTGCAAAAGTATTCTCCTCTGTCACGCAGCTCTGTGGGGACATCGACTAAATAGATGTTTTTATCATTTTATACATTTTCTTCTTTTGGGCCCAAACTACTTCACTACATTGTATATGTGGTGCCTGAATTATACTGTTTTTATCTATGTTAAAATAGTCATTATTGGAGGAAAGAAGAAACACCAATAAAACAGGAGACCCCATACCTGTAAGCTATATTGTATGTTGTAAAACGTATGTAGAATTAACAAAATTTAAGGTTTTTTTTTTTTCTATTTATGTGGCTGCTGTACTATACAATTTATATTCCCACTTTCCTGATGATAAGATATAATAACTCTTCTGCATGTAAAATACGGTTTGATAAACCATGTACAGCTGGTTAGTTTCTCCTGGACAAAGCGTCCCTGTGTTTCAGTGAAGGAATAAATCAAAGCGGCACATTTGACATCAGAATCAGCTTATTTGGTCTGTGTGTATTCGGTTCCATGGTCCTCATAAGGTAAGCTCTCACACTGATGTGTTTCCACAGCTCCTGCAGTGTGACGGAAACCTGTACGATGCCATCTCAGTAGCTGTAAAGGCAGCTCTCTTCAGCACAAAGTAAGTAAAGTGTTCTTCTGCTGTTTATTTGGGTTTATTCAGTAAAATGAAAGCTTATAGATTACTGATTCTGATCTGATTACCTTGCTAACAGAATTCCCAGAGTGCATATATCAGCTGACGACGAAGGAGGAAAGGAAATTGAGCTGTCAGATGACCCGTATGATTGTATGAGACTTAATGTAGAAAACGTTCCTTGTATTGTGACGTTATGCAAGGTAAGCTCACTTTCTTAAGCCCATTATCACACAAACAGTGAAGATGTACACACTTGGCTCCCCTGACTTTGTTTTTCTGTAGGTGGGTCACAGGCATGTGGTGGACGCGACTCTGCAGGAGAAGGCCTGCTCTGTGGCCAGCCTCATCATCTCTGTCACACACAAGGGCACGGTCACCTGCACGAGGAAGGTGGGAGGAGGCAGCCTGGATCCAGAGAGCATCTTTGAAATGACAGAGGTGAGTCCAGCCCTCATGCTCGGCCATCTGGCCTCCTTTCGCCTCAGCTAAAGCATTAGCATAATGTGATTTTATTTAATTTTTTATTTATTAAAGTATTTTTCTTTTCGTTTCCAGGCAGGTAAACGGGTTGGGAAGGCCCTTCATGCTCCACTCATGAAGCTGCTGCAGCAGGAGGAGAGTTTAGGACAGAAGCGACAGAAAGTTGGTTTCCTTGGTTAAGATCAACTACTGCATCTAGAGTATGTGGGTACATGTATACAGAATTTTCTAATAAAGCTTTGATTTTGTACAGCCTTCTTGTCTTTGTGGCATGTTTGAACAAATACCAAAAAATGAACATGTAGGTGTAAGGTTTAGTTTTGATAATTAACGCCTCTTTAACACACTTGCACATGTTATCGCTTTGCCCTGATGTCCTGACAGGTTCTGGATGGATGTAGTTGATTACCTGTCATCAATGTTAAAGGTCCAGTGTGTACCATTTATGAGGCGCTATTGACAGAAACAGAATATAGTATTCTATATGATATATTCTAACTATGTATAATCACCTGAATACAGGAAATGTTGTGTTTTTATTACCTCAGAATGAGCCTTTTATATCTACAGACACAGTGGGTCGCCTTCCATGGAGTCCGCCATGTTGAGCCGCCATGTTTCTACAGTAGCCCAAAACAGTTGCACCAAACAGTGGCTCTAGATAGGGTCGTTCGTGTTTTTTGTGCGGTTGGTTTCGACCACTGTAGTTTTTCCTTTGCACCTGGAAAGGGAGGGTGAAGCGAGGGAGTTGCTATCTGGACCTTTTTTAATGTGAATTAATAAATGTGAAGCAAAATCAACAGTGTGTTATTACATCTGCATTTCTAACAGTAAAACATACGATCTTAGAGAACTGGTTTGGTGATTTGATTTGGAAAGAAGATTATGGACACAAACAATATCGCAATTGAATCGCAATCGATGAACCTGTGCAGTAGGTATTAATAACCAGGGATCTGATTGTCCACAGTAAAGAGAATTTATTTTAACATATTGACAATAACAAAGTAACTATGGATATTACAGAGGAACTATATTTCATCAAGTAGGTCCATCAAAGTATGCAGTATTTTACACAGATAACTTGCTATATTGTAAAACCTGTGTGTGTCCTTGTGCTTTTGTTCCACATTCACCAAGGGTGAGTTTTAGTTTTATTTCGAGCAGATTTAGAGTTAGCAGATCTGAAATCAGTGCTGTACTGTCAGGACAGAAATGCACAGGAAAAATCCAGACTCTCTGCATCCTTTTGTTTTTGCCACGTGTCAGTTTGAAGATTGTGTAAAATGGAAGTCTTACAGAAAGTCCAGATGTAACTGGATCATTTCCACTTGGCCCTCAGACTGTAGGGTGTGTGTGTGTGCTGGCTGAGAGCAGACAGGTCCAAAACAAACTCCTATTCATGGCTTGAGCTCAGAGTAGATTTTGAAATGAAAAAAACGTATGCAGAGAATGGTTTATAAAATGATAGAAAATTTAAAATAAGGTATAATATTGCACGTACAGGTAATTAAAAACTGCATAAGAGATTTTTCAATTTCATTGCCTCACTGCTGTCAAAAAAAACCTGGAAATAGTGAAATTTTTCCAAATTAGGCCATACCTAAGGACTTCCAAAGAACAATTTGGCTTACATTTAGGAAAGAAGGTTTTATTCCATCTCTTTTTTTAAGATTAAACTAGTCAAAAGAGCCAAGAAATAAACTGTAACCAAGTTATTTAAGCATTTATGCAACAGATGAGTCAGTGCTTGTTTCCTTTTCATATACTCTGACGAAAGCTCAACTGCTTCACACTGTGTTGCCCTGTCTGCCAGTCTCCACCTGCTTTCCAGGCCTGGCTATGGTTAGTATTGGCCCTCCATCTGACGTGTCTGGAGCCAGACAGATGAGACACACACACACGCCATCCTATAAGGCTCCTGAGGTCGCATTGTTATTCCTGCAAATGGGAGTTTTGGAGAGATGAGAGGGAGGGTGTGAGAGAGTGAGTGAGTGAGAGAGAGGGAGAGAGAGAGATAAATTGCAAGCATCCACGTTGGAGCAGCCTTATTCAACAGGTCTAGCCATGGAGTTCAAAGGAGTGTGTGTGCTGCTGGGAGTACTACTACTGGTGAACTGCTCACTTCAGCAGACTCCACCAAAGAAGAAGACAGTGAGAAAAGGTAGAAAACACCTGATCACAATCTGTAGGAAGAATTTATGTGAATATTATATTTGTGTTATGAGTTGTTTGAGATATTAGTAAATGTAGTTTTTCTTTAAACAGCAAGTTTTCTTTCTTATAATGGTGCTCAAATCTCCTTGAAACAAGGAATTATACATACATTTGTTAGTTATTCTTCCATCACTGAGCATGCACAAACGACTAATTTGAATTTCTGGTGTTGTTGGAATCAGATACAACAGCACAGGATGCTGCAATTGTAAACCTACAGAAACAGATCGATGACATTGTCCAGGAGCTCAACCTCCTGAAGGAACAACAAGCTCTGCAGACAGGTAAGCTTATCTTCTGAACGGCTGGATCATAAATTTGATAAAGGTGTGCAAATAATTCCTCTAAGAAGGGCTTGATTACCCTAAATCTCCTATTCTTAATAAGAATTTGCGACACTAAGGCACATACTCAACCAAGCAAGGTCAAAATCTCATCTTAATAATAATAATAACAACAATAATAACCTTTTATAAGTAGCTTTCAAAACCAAAGTTACAAAGAGCTTTACAGTCAGACAATTACTAAAACCCAAATAAGCATAAACGAAAAAATGTAATTAAATTATTTGAAACAATTACAACAAATTCCATCAGTTAATAGAAAGCCACTTCATTTAAATGGCGTACATTTGTTAGTGGCTGTTTAAACAACAACTTTGCATTTAACAATCCCAAGACAGTCTGTAGGTACTGAGATTTCCAATTGTCTGGTATCGCGAGACTAGGGGCCAGGTGGCAGGTAGAGGGTCAGTAGGGGTCCAATATTTATTTTTAATAGGTTAAGCTGGCCATCGGGCACCGAATATGTATTGAAGCTGGAGTGAACAGTCTGAGGTATGCTTCCTTTTAAAGTACACACAGATGGGATACACGTGTAGTCTTTGAAACATTTCAATCTGGAAAACACATGGCATGCCCTTGTACGACCTCTTGTTCTGAACACAAAATGATATCCAGTTGCTCCTGCAAATCCAAAAATCTTCAGGACAGAAAAAGCACCATTTTCACCATGTTGCTCATTAACTGAGGATATTGTGCTCATACGCTGTCTCCAAAATACCACAGGACTACTTTTATTCACATGATCACAGGCTCCCTGTATTATCTCCAAATGAAAACAAATGACACTGAGTCACAGTTTAGGTCTATCTAACCATCTGCCCCCTTTTTATTTTTCTCTTCAGTCTGTTTGAAAGGCATAAAGATCCATGGCAAGTGTTACTTGGCCGAACCTCTGAGAAAACGCTATCACACTGCCAGTGAAGACTGTAACAACCTGGGCGGTGTCCTCGGTACGCCCACATCCAGCGATGAGAACGACCAGCTCAGAGACTACATCCGCCAGAGCATCGGCCCAGATGGGCAGGTCTGGTTGGGCTTCAACGACATGGTGACTGAGGGCACCTGGGTGGACCAGACCAGCTCCAGCATTACATATAAAAACTGGGACACATCCAACAGCCGGTCCCCTCAGCCAGATGGCCGCCAGTCCCAGAACTGTGCCGTCTTGTCCGTGGCCTCCCGCGGGAAGTGGTCTGACGAGAACTGTCGTGAGGAGAAGCCCTCCATCTGCCAGTTCAACATTGTTTGATCATATTTATCTCATCATAGATTGCGCATGGTTTTAGCTGCTTTTACAGTGTACTCTTGCTGCAGTGCCTTTTAAGTTTTAAGCCAGTGGTTCTCAGCTGGGACTAAATTCTGCTAGAAGTCACAGTCAGTTGCATTACAAGACAGTGACATGTAAAGCTGTTATTTTTGACTAAAGTGATCTGGTGATATGTCATTTGCAGCATTCCTTGTGGTCAGAATAAAACCAGAATGCTCACAGTTCAGTCTAAACTAGAGATTATGGGACATTGTCTCCTCCAAAGGAATCAATGATTTCTGCCATCATTTTAAAGATTTTAGTACATATATAAATACAACACAATACAATTATAATTTTCCAAATATATATATATATATCTAGTATGTACCAGTACTCCTGCAACAAAATTAGTGTGTAGGTGCTGGCACCTTTCACAAATGTAAAAACTGGGTGTAACTTCTTTCCACACCTCTATTACAGTACTTCCATGACTCACTGGTTGAGAACCACTGGTTTAAATTCAGGCAGCCCTTCACAACTACTGTATTTTAACGACAAGACTCGCATGGAGCCAGAATAATATAAAAAAATAACTCAATCTTTAACCACATTCTTTTGATAGATTGTTTCAGTTTGCTAGTATTTCAGTCTCCTATAATGTCTAGCCTAATGTAACCTGAAAAATCACCATCAATAAACTATGAAAACTCATTCCTCTATTGTCATTTCTCAAAGGTTTTGGGATATACTTAAGCATACTCAAAGTCAAAAGGCTTAAAACTGAAAGACAAACGTTATTTTAAATTCAACACCTGCATCTGCAATAAATCTGGTGCAACTATGTGAACCTGGCTTCTGCATTTGTTGATTCCAGTAAAAACTCCACGGTAAACATTGGCTTCTGCTCTGCAGTCTGAAGTCGTCCACACCCTCCTTCACACTGTTTTTCATGGCCAGAGTTCCTGTGGTTGAAATTGTTTTCACCATCTAGAATGCGAAAGGCGACTGTCTCAGTGCAAAGAGGAAAATGAAGTGTGATGGCAGCCGTTACCTGAAGAAGTAAACTTTCGGCACCAGACCATTTTCCTAGAATTTATTGCAAAAAAAACAACCCCTAAATTGTATTTACAGGTAAAGAAAAAAATCTTAAAAACCGTAAACAATATGCAGTAAAAACACATTAAAACAAGGACCAGAGATAGTCTATGCTCCTGAGTCAATGCCCCATAGGCAGAAATTGAATAAAACTAAACAAATCAAATATTAAAGGCAAGGTTGGACTTTGTTGCTTTCCTGCTGAGAGTCATACGAGAAGATCAATATCATCCTCATGTTTGTACTATAAGCTACAGCCAGCTTAGCTTAGCATGAAGACTGGAAACAGAGGGAACAGCAGTTTTTTTTATACTTTGGTTAAGGTTTTACAGTGTGCTATTAGTTAACTTGCTGGAGGCAGTGACTTCTGGAAATTTGGTGGATTTTGTTACTTTTGGAGAGAGCCAGGCTAGCTGTTTCCTCTTGTTTCCAGTCTTTACGCTGAGAATCGTATAGATCTTCTAACTCTGGGCGAGAAAGCTACAAGGATCACAGCATCTACTCTTAAAGTCATATTCAGAAAGCTCATCTGAACTCAGATTCCCTGAGTGTGATCGATGCACAAGTCCACATCAGTACAGAGAATTTAGTAACAGCTGTCCATCGTGCAGTTACAGTCCTGACACACTACATGGACTGCTCTGTTAGTGGTTCCATGTCAACACCGGAGAGTCGGATCGTGTTGATATTGCCTGTGGTCTTGAACGTGTACAGTTCATTTTCCACCATCCTGCGGTCCTGGAAGCCGAGGCTGTCCTGCCGGTCGATTGGCGTGCGCGGACGGGACGGGATGAAAGTCTCAGACGGGTCCAGGAATGTCTTGTACTGGTCCATCTCAGGCTCATGGTCCGGCTCTTTGATTACAGGCAGCTCTCCATCAGTGGGGCCTGTGAACGTTTGATACGAGTCCATCTGCATCCCTTTGAAGCGGTCCTGCATGCTGTCGGCGTAGCTCGTGTCACCCAGCAGGTGGCCGTACACCATCGTCTCATCTATGGAGTCGTAGACGTGAGATTCATTTTCAGACCGACTTTTGGTGAAGTGCATGTCACCTGGGCGGAAGATATTCCCTTTGCCGATGTAGATGGATGACTCCTTGTTCATTTTATCTCTTTTCTTTTTCCTGAAAAGTTGAAGGTAGAAAACAATAAGGGTCAACAAAAGCCACCAGTTACAAAAATATATTACAGAATATAGACAATAAATTAAGATATAAAGATTAAAGATAAAACATGATCTAACCTGCGTAGAAACCAGGGCCCATATTCATTAAACTTACACTAAAGTATGGAGCCCCAAAGCTGAAAAACTGTAGTAAAATAATGTTATATATCAAAAGTAACTAAATAATGCATCAATAAATAATATAAACAAAAAATAACATCAATAGGTGGAAGAGAATTTGCACAACAGACACAGCTTATTATATCTAAACTGGCTTCTTGCTTCTTTTGTGAGGTATTACTACAGTTAACAATTGCATTAAAAATGGGAATATTGAATATAAAATTAGATTTATCAAACTTACATTTCCATTTTATTGAACTTATTATAGTATAATTATTTTAGGAATTATGAATGACTGATATTAAATTAAAATAAATTTAAAAAGCGTACCCCAATTTGAGAAATAGAGGCAAAATAAATAAAAAAATCTCATGTTTGATAAATACAGGCTCAGATGTTCGCGTTTTTTTCTACAGGTGAACTCACTTTGTAACGATGCACACAACAGCCAGCACTACGAGCAAAAGCAAAAGAGCTCCTGCTATCCCGAGGAGGATTGCCAACAGATCTGTAGAGGCAAAAAGAAGACATGGTAGAATTACGTCCTTTAGTTTAATAACATATAAAGGATTCTTTTGTTTGCATTAAATTAGTCCGGCTTGCTTACTGGTCTTCTTCTGCAGAACGATTTTGGTCACTGCACCAAACTTTTCACTCTCCGGTGCACAGTTGGACATGTTGAGGTAGAAACTCTGTGACACCGTCAACTTGTCCTCCGTCTTCTCGTCCTCCCTGCGGCTCATGATCTCCTCCTCCTGCCCCAGCATCTGCACCTTGATGGCAGTGTGAGTGTCTTTGCATTTGGGCTGGCTGATGTTGACAAACTGCATGTGTGCCTGGTACTGGCTCGGCAGAGTGACGATCCAGGATATGGTGGAGGAAGGCCTCATCCCCTCAGGCCAGTTGGGGGTGCTGAGCAGGGTTGGGGACGAAATCCCTGGACTAACTCTGTAAATAATGCTATCTGAAACGGGATGGAAATACTGTCAGTACTGTGTCCTGTGTGTGATTATTCTCTGCTAGTCTACAAATTGAGCTATTCAAGCATTTGTGGTGCAATGGTGCCCCTGTGTGGAATTTAAAAGTAAAGTGAATTTGCTCTGTTTGATCATAATGGAACCAGTTTGGTCTATAAAATAACAGAAAATAGCCAATACTATGCCTATTACAAGGTGACATCTTTAAAAGGTCTAGTTTCTCCCACCAACAGGCCAAAACCCGAAGGTCCTGAATTTACTATAAAAAAAACATATGATCCCTTAATAATATAAAATATATATTACTGCAGCTTTAGGATACAATTATTATAAACTAAATGTAATTAAATAAAAAATTTTTCTTCTTTTCTCAAATCCCTTTGTTGCAGCATCTGGAAATATCTTGACATCAATTTGTCTGTTTGCCTTGTTTTCTGTCCCCTTCTGGAAGCCTTCAGGTGTTATTTACAGTAGATATTTTGACTTGTCATTGCAGAAAAGCACATACGTTACTTATGACATTAACTATGGCTCTGTTCAAGTAATTATTCCAATGCAATGCCACAGCGGATAATGTTATTTGCTGCACCTGTGTTTGAGTGTCTGCTGTGAAAAAGGTCTATTCAACTACAGTTTCCCTCTGGGTCATGTGTGGGTGGGTGCTATGCCATCTATCCACTTTAGCTCACCCTGAAATCCACTCGAATTAATTAAAATCTGTTAAAAAATGTCAGAACTCTCGAATGTTGAAAAAATATATTAGACAATATAATAGAGCTGAAAGGATTAATTGATTAGTCACAAAATTGCAGATTTCATTTAAAAGCACAAATGCCAAAAAAATCCTCTGATTTAAGATTTTTAAAAAGGTATAATTTGCTGCTTTTCTTTTAAAATAAATTGAATATCCTTGGCTTTTGAATAGTTGGTTGGACAAAACAGTTCATATGAATAAGCCTCCTTGGGCTAGGGCCAGTTTCACTATTTTCTAACAAAATGGTTAATTGATTAACCGAGAAAATAGTCTGCAGATTAATCATTAGCTGCAGCCTGCATTACATTCCTGTTTTACCTGGGATCTCCTGACTGAAGCTGACATTGAGAAAAGGCCCCCTGTTCTTGCTGAAGTCCTTGGATGTGGCTGTGATGGAGACGTTGGCGTGCACCTGAACTTTCTTGATGACTCCATTAAAGCAGAAACTTCCAATGGAGAACCCATCAGCCTCCGCCACATGCAGGGAGACAGACTGATTACACTCCTGGCCAGGCAGGAACTGCTGGAGGCTCCCTGTGGGCGACACCAGATCCACTGTGCCGTCCTGAGGGATGTTGAGGTGCCAGGTGAAGTTGTGGAGGGGCATCCGTAGACAGGAATCCAATTTGGGCAAAGTGAGGACTTTCGGATGGCAGGACGCCATGTTTCGGCACCCTATTATTGAAATTATTATTGAGGCACAAAAGGAGATATACTAAAAAGTTTTATAATTCGAACTATTCCCTCAACACTTTATACTTTGACTTTGAAAACAACAAAGCTACAATCATTTTAGCCCCCCCAAAAAACAGCTTACCAATAACTTTACTGGCAGTCAGGCGCACATCTTCGTATGGACAGTCAAGGAAGGACAGGCTGGCCTTTGTGCCTGCAGCCACGTTTATCTTCTCTTTGACCTCAGAGTCGATGCTCATCTCACAGTTGGGATCAGAACCCACTTTCTCTATCTGCAGCGACACTCCTGTGTGTTTGGTTAGATCCACCGTACACAGAACTGAGAGGGAAATACAAAGCATAAAGGAAGTCATCATCTCAGCTTTTATTGTGACAATATTTTATCAGCAATCCTTTTTCTGGTGTTTGTTTTTGTCTAATTTCTATATAAAATACAAACTGTATTGTGGTACTGTAATTTGATATACTAAAATCACAGGCAAAAACTCAATTTTGATCTAAAAATTCCCAAATTATATATTTTTATGGGTAAAGTAATGTACACAGTTTGTGCCTTTCGGGTATTACCATTACATTAAAGTCAAAGAACTACACGTTGAATTTATTTTTTAAATATATACCCTGCAATCATCATTAAAAAAACCTTCAAATCCTCAAAGACTTTTCTAACCATCTGGATGAAAAAGTATTCTGTCTCCTTCTCTCTTATTGTAAAAACGCAAGCAGCTTTTCATGCTTTATCACTGTACCTGGATGACCACTTCTCATTACGGAGACTTTGTAGTTCAAGGTGAGTCCTTGTAGCGTCTTGTTGGTTTGACAGTTCTTCAGCGTCATGTTGAAGTTGCCCTGCTGATGCTCCGGCTGAGGATCCGTCAGAGTCAGTTTGGTCACCTTCTTGCCCTCTTTCTGGTACTCCACCTCCACTTCTTTTTGGAGGCATTCTGGAGCTGTGTGATCACGGAAGTGCATGGTGTAGTTGTGCATGCCGGGCACTGTGAAGTCCCACCGCATCTGCTGGTCATCAGGAAAATCGCGGGGATAGTTGGCTGTGATGAAGTCTGTGTCTGATACGCCTCGTGGTAGGTTGGCTTTAACTATTGCCACCACTGGAGAGAAACAAGGAGAGACTATTTTGGTAGGAAACATGCAAAGGAAGTCATCTATATCCCTTTTAAATAAGCTTTTAAAAAGGAACTCAGTAGTGATTATGGGCCTGCATAGCAATACCTGAAGACAAAACGGTTCTTTTTTAAATACAATGATGACTAAAAACTATGGTTTTGGTGAGGTACTTTAATATTTTTTAGTAACATAAAAAGAAATTGAAAGTAAGGTAGAGAGAAAAGTATATAGTGTATAGAATATATAGAAGTACATGGAACATATAACAGCCAAAGTCCAGATGATGACTTTGGAAGCATACAGCTGCTATAAATTTAACAGTGCGGCAATGCAACTATATATATCGTAACATGGCTTTGACCATATACAAAATATCCAACAATCCCTCTTCAATTGAGGGCTATATGTTGGATGTAACACACAAATGCAAACAAAAGTAGACTTTGTTTTACATATTGTTGTGCGTTCTTTATACTACACAGTTTTCCTAAAATCATATATTTTTTAAAATTACAATTTCTATTGTGTTGTTTATAGTATTGCAATATATGGCAATATGTATTGTACTGCCAGATTCCGGTCAATACACAGCCCTAGTATGTATTAGGAATAAAAAATTAAATTAAATTAAATTACTAACTTACTGCTGGTCTCAGGCCCAACAGTGAGTTTGACGTCAACAGGATCCAGCTTCCTGTCCCCAGGCACCTGTAGAGACAAACGGCCCTTGTATCGAGCCAGGATGGTGGTCACAGTTCCTCCTTTGCAAAAGGTACCAATGGTTGCTGGCCCCGTGCGCAGATAGGTAACAAGAGAGTATGTGTGCTCATCCGGACAGGTCTCCTCGTTGGAAATCTGTTGCATCCCCGGTTCTGGGAAGTCGAGCTGGAAGGCCCGAGTGGAGACAACTTTCAGATCCCAGGTGAAGGTTCGATTGAAGTCTGGGAATAGTGAAGACTCGGCCTGAACAATGTCACCCGAACAGGAGGTCTCTGTGCAGTCTGGAATTTGAGCAAATAAGTTTAAGCAAGAAAGCAAGTCTTAAATCTTTAAAGATCCAGTCAGTTTGTGCGTCAATGTGAGAATGTTCTTCTTAAACCATCTCAGAAAGAGCTAATCATACAGTTTGAAATGGATTAGTGCTTCATATCATGCTTCAATAAGACAAAGCAATTAATTAAAACACACAGTTACTTTATTTAAATAACAATGTCAAGAACATTTGGTAGTTATTACATTATTGGCTGCTACACACCCTAACAGGACTTAGGGTTGTGAAAGTTAACCTTTGCTCTGATTGCCAGAAACAAAAACAAGGAGTCTCTTACTACTTTCACGGTGAACATGACAGTAAGATGACTCCTTCGCACTTTAGTCTACTCTAGACTGACGTGATTACTTGATTTTTTTTTTTGGTTTTCTCCTCGTCAAAAATGTACTTTACATTTGTTTTTTCTTGTTGAATAAATCTTTAATCTTGCTAGCCTTGCTTGCATAAAACAATTCTCGATCTAACCCAACATTAATGAGATTAATTTCACTGTAGTTTTACTGTATGGGGAGTTTTCTCAGCTGGTGGGTAGAGTAAAAAACTATTGGGCTATATAACAGACTAGTTATTTTTGCATCAAATCTTGGTGCTGTCTGTGGTCACTAAGAGTATCTTTTAATCTCTGAAACCTAACTCAGATGATATTTTATCAAACACATCGTGAATGCACAAAATTGATCGTGCAGGATGCAGGTTCACAGTCTGACATACCAATTTCTCTGTTGATCTCCACACCGAAGACATCCTGAGGTTGAGGACAGGTAAACTCTACTGAGGTGTTGGTAGGATCCTTCAGTTGGAGAAATCTTGGGTTGCATGTCGGTTTGGGCACCGTGTTGTGACACACGCTGCAGTCTGGTTCGCTGGTCACCCTGCTGATGGTGATGATGGTGTCAGGATCAGGCGTCACGGTCATCATTCTGCCAGCTAAAGAGAAAAGAGGTGCAATAAGATACTGAGCACACCCGAGAGCAAAGACATCTCCGCTCAACCACTTCTCAAATAAAATGTATGAAAGAGATATTGTTGCATGTACATTCATATTAACTATAAGCCAAAATATTAAACATTACGTATGATTTAAATGGTATAAGGTATGTGGTGTACTGTAACTGTTTAATTAAAGGATAACTTTAGTATTTTCTAATCTGGATCTTATTTTCCAGTGTTTTTGTGTCAAAGTGACTTACAGGGGTAACAAGTTTTGAATTTGGTCCAGTACTGCAGCCGTTAAACATGCTACAATGCAATCCTTGCGGGCAATGTAAGTCAAGTCACCCTATGCCCACAGAGGAGCTTTATTTCATGGACTGGATCAAGCGAAAGGTACCCGAAATATATAATAACAATATGAGCCAGTGGCAAGAACAATCAATTTAATGGACATGTTTTGATGGTGCACAATTGCTCACAAAGATTGCATTGTAGGCCGTTCTGTGACTGGAGGCTGCTGTGTTCTCGCTCAGTACTGGACCACATTCAAAACTTGTTGTTCCCATTACTCACTTTGACACAAAAACATGGGAAAATAAGGTCAGGGTTGAGAAATACCAAAGTTTTCCTTTAAGTGACGTCTGTTGGTCAACCACTTTGGTCTAACTTCTGGATGGATGGCCATAGACATAGCCATTGACATATTGACATATTGACACTGTATTTTGTCTTTGGTGCTAATTGGCAAATGTGACATGCTGAACTTTTATTTAGCTCAATACAATACAATGCTAAATACAGTCTACTTAGCTACTAGCCTGTCTGTAGACTATTAATTTTATTCTTGAAACTGCTATAATTACACTTCCTGAAATACCCTCTGCACTGTTTTCTGCATATCCATTAGCGTTAGAAAGAGTTTTTTCCCACTATTATAAAAAATTATTAATTATTTTAGGTATGTTTAATGAAGCATCTTTGTGTAATTTTAAAGGATGTAGCATCAGGTTTTAGGAATACGTATTTGATATATTGTTCTGTAAATAAATAGCTATTTATTTCATTATAGTGTGAACTAACTGAAGAAACAGACACTCGCCTCTTGGCGCTGCTTTGACAGTGAATGCTGTTGAGTCCAGATCTCCTCCTTTGGGCACCTCAGCAGTCACAGTCGTCGCTCCAAGCAGATCCAGATGAGACACCGTCCCACCCTTGCAGTAGCTGTTAGTTTTGATCTTTCCGTCACCTTTAGTTGTACTCACTGAGTACTGGTGGCCATCTTGGCAATTTTCTGCTCCAGTCATCTCCTTTAATCCACCAGGGAAGTCCAGAGTTAATACAGTCCTCTCTGGTACACTAATGTCCCACGTTAGGGATTTTTTAAAGTCCTTGAAGAGGTTGGGATCGACTTCTCCTGCAGCAGGAGTGCAGGAGCTCTTGGTGCACTCTGAGTAACAAAAATGATAAATTTATACAATGAACATATCTTTTTTTATTTACTTTTTGGGTACCACAGAAAGAGAAATAGCCTAGACTTCAGTATCATGACTATGGAGGAAAAAACATAACTTATTAATTTATAAATAAACAAGTACATACAATAAATGGTGACATAATTACAGATATTATTAACTACACATTCTAACTAATGAATAAAGAAATAAATACTGAAATAAACAAACAAAAACCTAATTCAAAAATTAATATTTATTCAGCTCTACATTTCTACAAATGTTTATTTATTTATGTATTTCTTAATTTATCTATTTCTATATTTCTGTTGTAGAAATACAGAAATCCAGGATAAATCAGAAATAAACATTTCCAAAATGATTACCAACATTAATTATTTTTTTATTTAACTACTGATTTGTGTATTTATAACAGCTTCTTTTTTTCATTTAATATTTCATTTATTAATGAAAATATTTATCTATTCATGTATTTATTTCAGAATTTATTTATTATTTTTTATTGATAAATAAGTCATTTTTGTCTTCCATTCATGTGTAGTTAATCCTAAATTATGCTGGTAACTGACTTAAACACAGCTCTCACCTATTTTCTTCTTCATCTTCAGGCTGTAAACATCCTGAGGTTTTAGGCAGCTGAACTCCAGCGTGAGATTTTTAACATTTGTTAGTGTCTTTTCTGTAGGGCTGCAGTTGGTGGTGGAGCCATCAACAGAGCACACTTCACACTCTGGTTCCTCAGGATTACGGCTTACGACCACAGTCGTGCTGGAATCAACAGTTATAACCTCTTTTCGGCCCTCTAAAGGGGGGAAAGGAGAGACATATCAGTACATATCTTTACGCACAAAGGCTTGAAACAGGGAAACAGCTACCAAGAATAATAACACTTACAAAGATTACAGTTTCAGGTTTCCAAAGGATAGACTAAACTTAACTGTTAAGAACTAGTTTGTGTGGTGCAACCTTAATTTAGTGATATTTAGTGATAAATATCCACTTAGTAAACACATTACAACTAGGTTAAGTTTGAGCAGAGAGCAAGAGTGTGTATTCAATAATTTCTTACTTAATGGTCCAGCGGAGGCCTGGAACAACACCAGTGGGACCTGAGCCTTTGGTTTAACTTGCAGAGACACAGCAGCTTGGTTGGGAAGGTCTAAATGAGTCACAGAACCACCTTGACAATACTGAGTCGTGCCCTTGCCACTTGTTTTGTCCGTGGTAACCGAATACTGAAATCCGTCAGGGCATGGGTGTGACATCTCCATCAGTCCATCTCCAAGGATGCCCAGACCCACAACTATCTTCTCAGGTGCCTTTAGCTCCCAGGTGAAGGTTCTGGTGAACTCTGTGAGGATGGAGGGTTGGGTTTCTACTGTTGTAGGGCTGCAGGTGTCCTTGGTGCACTCTGGATTAAAGTTAAAAGGCAAGAAAATATGAAGAATTTCAGCTCAATCATTTACTTTTTCATAAAATATGATCCAGTTTCACCCAAAATCACTGGGGGGGGCTTCTTGATTTTAAGTGGGGTAAAAAAAATGTTAAAAATATTCACAATAGGCCTAAATCGTCTTAGTGTTTGTTAATTTCTATGAAGAAAACTAAATTAAATTGTTATTTTTATTGTTTATATTTTTATACCCTGCGCCTTCAGTTTCTGCTAAACAACCTGATCCTGCATTATAGAAAGGGAGAAGAAAACACTGAATCTGTTGAAAAAGAAGCCTACAAAGTATATATGATTGTTAAAAATGCAAAATGCAGATGAAGAATTGTATGAAAAATTGCTTGTTTTACACAAACTTCCATATTGCATCGAGTATTTGGTTTCATTGTATAGTTTATCATGGGTCATCAGTCATTCAATGATAGAAAAGGGGTCCTTTCATGAAAATGTTGGGAACCACTGCAGTAATCAGTGAGGCCTGTCCCACCAGAAACACTCGGTAGAGAGCCAGCTAGCTAGCTAACTAATAAATCTTTACTCTGTATCACTAAAAGTTGAAGATTAATTGACAGGTGAATAACATGATATTATTATTTGAAACTAGTTAGTTCATGCTTATGTAACCACATGTCACATTTTGTTTTACAGGAAGACAAAATGATTCGATTGAGATATAAAAATACAAAGAAATTTAGTTCTTGTCTTTTTTTTGGCATATATTTTTAAATAGGGGTACAAAATGACTGGGGATGTAATCTTAAAGGGTTAAAAAGGGACCTTTTCAAGTTTTTTAAGTTATTATGACTGAGGTCAGACTAGAATGAATCTCAAGGTAGCTTCTGAGAGGGTTGACCCCTTTAAAGTCACACCTGCGAACAGAAACAACTACACATGGTAAATGTAGGTCTATTCATGTATAACGAGTCCATTTGACAACGATGTAAAAAACTCACAGCTAATTTGAAACCAAAAAAAGAAAACCCAAATAATCCAATTATTTCATTACATATAAGATGTGCAATAATTTGCCACTTGGGGGCAGTGGAAACAAGTTGTTATACAGAGCAACATTCACTCTCTTTTAGCTCTGTTTGTGGGCTCTACTAGCTCCTGAACTCTGGCTCTTTAGCTGCTAAATAAACGATGCCAGTAAACTCACCAATGGTGCCAGTAATCATCACAGTGAACGCCTGCTCAATCGGCTGGGAGCAGTTGAACAGCAGTGTGACCTCCTCCTCGGGCACCAGAGACAGAGAGGAGTGGCAGGATGTCTGTGTGTCATTCACCCCGCTGACTGTACACACAGCACATTGATCCAACGGCAGCTCCCTGGACACCGTCACAGTCGAGCTTTTGTTTGGTCGGACCACCGTCCGTAAACATTCTGAGGGGACAGATCACAGAAAGTTAGCTTCACATAGCTTAAAGAGGGAAGTATTGTTCTGTTTTAAATGCACATCAGCTGCCTGAGAGCATGCAGAGACGCATTCCCATATTTGGACTTGAATCTTTGAATATTGCACAAACACATCCTCATAAAAACTGTATTTGATATTAGCTGCAAAATGAGCTTCAAAACTAGAGCTGAACCAATTAGCTGATTAAACGAATAACTCGAAAGTTAATCTGCAACTATTTTGACAATCACTTTCAGGTCATTTATAGCTGGCAGCGGGGCTGTATGGATGGCAGGGACAGTCACTTTGGTCCAGGATGAAATATCTAAACAACTCCAAAATTTAAATGAAATGTGTTATTATTCATGGTTCACAAAAAACATGTCCTGATGAAATTTGGTGATCATTTTACTTTTACTTTTACTTTTAGCGCCACAATCAGGTCATAATCTTCAAAACTAATGACAGTTTTTTTTCCTCATCATTCCCATCAACATAAACATCAAACCTGTTTCAGCATCAGCATGTAAGCATTGTCTTTGTGGGCATGTTTACCTCAAAGCACTGTTGTGTGCCTACTCTAACACAGGGCATTGTTTAACAATTATACATTTCGCAGACAAAATGATTAACTCGTATCAGCAGATCAATCAGATGGGTGGACATCCGTTTTGTTCACACTGAGCAGAACAATGTCCGTCTCTCTTGTAAGACAATATAATGAATCAGTTCAACACCTCTGTAACATTTTGGTAACAAACAAAACAAAGCACACGGAAACGGTCAGACAGTTTTCTGTTGACGCTTGAGCAAACAGAGTGGTTCCAGGCACACCTATCCCCATGTTGTGTAGTGATTAGACCAAAGCAACTTCATTGACTTTCCATTATCGTGAGTCATCCGAGCGCTGAGTAAAGAGAGGAACTCAAGGTGAACCCATTTTAGAAAGCATGAGTAACGTTTATGTGGCAAAAGCAAATGTTTCCTTTAAGGGAAGTTGTACTTCATTATCCTTTTAAAAACTTAGATGATGCTGTTTCAGTTTCAGCTGTGATATTACACATCAGCAGCTGGTGGCGGACTCAGGCTGTTTGAGGGGCAGGGGTGAAACAAACCCATAAAAAGTTAATCAGAAGGTTGTGATACATTTATTGTGAAACAGCTTAGTTAGGGTGAGGATTAGCACCCTTAAGGGGCACTTTAACACATTTTCTCCACTGAAAGGGCACTCTGGAGGGGTAATGTTTGTATCAACCATATAGAAGCTTCCCAAACATGTGGGCAATGGAAGGGAGGTATCAGTCAAGCTTTCATGCCATTTCTTTTAGTGACTTTGCTTTATTTAGAAATGAATATATAGTGTTAGTAATATTTAGTTTGAGAGGAAAATTCCATCCAAATATGCTTAACTAACTGTTGTTATTTGGTCATTTAGTTTCAGACTATTTTTACTTTAAAATCTTAAGTTTACATAATTATTTCAATCAATTGGCTATCAGGTCAGGTAAGTCAAAAATAGTCAAAAACCTATTGTACTTGTCAAAATGGCTAACTTATAATAACATTATTTATAGTAATAATAATAATTTATAGTCTAATGATTTCTTCTTAAATAAACAAATTATAGAAAAAACAAACTAAACTGCATAAGTCAAAAACAGGAATTCACAACCTGAACTTGCAAGGACTTGAAAACAACACATAAGAATATTGCAGCATAAATGGTGGCTAGAGGGCTTCTGTGACAGAAAACAATGGGTGTGTCGAGGATGTCACAGGGTTCAAACGGACACACTTAGTGGGAAAATAGAAGTTTATATCATAATTTCCACAAACACTATATAAGAGAATAAATTCACCCTCCTGCTGATGACTCCCCCCAGGAAATGAATTAGGTTAGTGAGGAAGAAAAGTGCAGAGTTTGAGCTAGAGAGATTCATATTTCATCAGCAGATTGCTGGTCAATCATTAATGGAGTCATGATGAATTCATGCCTCCAGGAAGCTCCATAAATGCCTCATAAACCTTTTTGAAAATGGAGGTCTAGGACTGAAGCACTCTGACTGGGTATGTGCTCCAGCCTTTCATCACCAATATCAAGTCAGTCAGTCATCCATAACGTTAATGTCCTCCATCATCTCTTAATGCGTTGACACAGAGCTTTTAACACTCTTCACTCCATCTTTGCATTAGGTTTCGCCTGAGCACGTTTATTTATTATTTATTTTAAAATCACAATAGTAACTTTTGTGTTTGACCCAATTGGAACACACTTGCTGCAATTTGATATCAGGGCGTTTCGCGATGCTTTAGCGCATTTAACCAACTAAAAGCAATTCAACCAGAGCAGGGAAATGGGCAAAGCTTCACCAAACAATACATGAACATATGCTTCTTGCTGAAAGAGATCGTTATCCCACCTGATGCATCGAAGACCGTCACAAACAAAAGTCCCAGGAGCGCGTAGGTCGAACAGAGCCGCATGTTCGCCTCAAAAAATAAGGATTTTCCTATTTTATAAAAAGGTAAAACGATTTTTAAAATAAAATCTTGAAATGTTGCTGTTTCTCCTATCAAACGCACAGTCGCATTTTCATTAACTTTCCATCGTTACAGCGTTGACAGCCACTTCCTGCTCCGGTGTAGCTGTGCGCAGCGGAGGGCGTGGACCTCAGGTAGCGTTACCTGTCCAAACTTGACGGTTGAGGCGGAGCAGGGCCCTGCCGTTGTACCCTTGAGCTAAAGCACTGCATTGGGTTTGATGCACACAGTATGTAATATAACACACGAGTCCTTATGTGACTTCCCCTCACAGTGTGGCACAATGGGTTGCCCTATTTTTAAACAGCCAAACATGCCAAGGATTGTTGGCATCGTGCTGTGTATCGCCAAAACGAGGCAGATGAAGGGGGTGTGGATACAATGTGGAGGTTACTTTAGGTTTGAACATCCCCAAATTAATAGTTTTATAAGACACAGAGGCTGATGAATGTAACTGCAACGGGAATAATACAGCAAAGAATTAAGAAGGTTAAATTCAGTCCCTGAAGGAATATTTGAGTTTAAATGAGTAATATGTTCAATAATCATGGTTGTGCCATGTCAGCTGCATGTTTTGAAGATGAAAATGTGACTGATGTGTGATAGTATATTGTGAATAACACTCCCATGTTTCAAAGGCTCCCTCCTGCCTCCACATGCCTCATGACGCAGACATTCCTGTACAGAAACATACCTGAGGGCAGACCTCTCACAAACACAAATCTGAGTTACATTTTGGCTTTACATCACCTCACTAATTTCCCTTAATCTGGATCCAAAATGCCTAAAATTAACCCCAAATCCAACACCAGACAAAACAAGGCTTATTATCCTTTATAATTTCAACTTTTTTTTGTCATCTAAACGCAAAACTTCAATCACAATATGAAACAAAACAGATGAAAGAGTGAAAACGATATAAAATTATATATATATGTATATTTCTTAATAATATTTTTGTCTTTGTGAGAGCACTTTGATCCCCAAAACACAAGCACACACACACCTATTCAATCACAAGTGACACTGAGTTGGGTTTTGTATTTTTTTTGGTTGAACCAGTCTGACAGCTTGCAGAGCGGGCGGTGTGGTGAATGAAGACAGCTTCAGTGAGCCTCAACAAGAGACCTCAGTGAAGAATTAGCAGCTGTCGGAGTCCCCTCCCCTCTTCTGTTACTGACTGCCAAACATGTGCTGTGGAGAGTTTCATGGACACAGTTTCTTTTCCGGTGCCTTTTGAGGGGAGTTCATTGAGTTTTGAACAGATGAGCCGAATTAACTCTGAGCTAATGTTCTCTATTCCATTTTGGAGACATGATAGGTTGTGTAATATGTCAAGTGACTGTTTATTGTTTATGACAGATGCTCAGTCAGTCATCAAAAGTAAATTCTTTTTATCATGTGGTAACATGTCATCATGTTTGCTGTCTTTCTTTCCTGGCCAATTATTTTCTCAACAGACCAGAAATGGCATACATAAGAAAAAGAACCATGAAAAAGAAAATAACTAAAAACCGGAATAACAACTAAACAAATTTTAGATAAAAGCATAGTACGATTAAAATAAGTTCAGGGCTCCAAGCAGGTTAACACAAATACCAGCATTTAGTTCCAGCTGTTGTTTGAAAGTGTCTGATTCTAGGTCAGGAGTTACCCAATGAAGGACCTGAACAGACCACATGAGGGCAGTAACACAAGAAATATGAGCAGGATCAAGTTATAATTTGTTCAATAGGCTCAAACAGATAATACAGTAAAGAATACAAATGCACCAGTCAGTGACAGGGTGCTAATTATTTAATGTAGACCTCAAAAACACTGTTTCACTGTTTGAGGCCCAGAAGTCATATTTTCATCCAAATATTAATACATTTGTTTGTCTTCTTTCCTATTTTAGCCAGTTTTAACTAGTTTTAATCCTTAAATCATATGAATGTCTATATCTAATTTATCTCTTGTCTTAATGTCTTTATAGTAGGTACTTTGAATTGCCTTTTGATCCTTTGGACTGACCCCCCGACCCCTAGGTTGGAAACCACTGAACAAAACTTGTATAAAGTAATTAAAGTACTGCTTTTACTTTTATTTATGTATGCAGTATTTTCACATTGTTACACTAGTTATTTTTACTCAGTTAAAGGGTTTGAATACGTCTTCCACCACATCTAGAAATGACTTCACTTCCTTACAATTTAGATCACTGGTTCTCAAACTGTGGTATGTGTACCACTGGTGGTACGCAAGCTGCCTAGTGGTACGTGGAGGAATCTCGTACATTAATTTTAAAACATCAAAATACTAGAAAACATTGAATGAAAACACTCACTGAAATGTAATTTAAAATATTTTTTTTCCTGTAATATATTTCTACATCGTCACGTTCGTGCACTTATAGTGCAAACAACAATCCATGATTAGTTACGAGGTAAAAGGCGATAGGTAATCTTATAATATAGAAAGAAAACACTGCAATCGTGGCTCCAAACGTGAACTATTATTGAATTATTGATTACTGTTGTTGAACCTGCTCCTTGAACTGAATGGTGTCGACCTACGCTACTACATTTTAACGTAGGTCATAATGGTGGTACTTTTGGTGGAAATTAATATTTTCTGAGGTGGTACACAGTGTAAAAAAAACACTCCCAGGTCCTATGATGACAATAATACCCATTTGAATTATAAATTGTCAATAACTGAACACAGATCCAGCTTCAGTATCTAAATACTTGTGGTGTTTTATCTCGTACCAGTGGGTCTCATCTGTTGCCACCCACTCAGCCAGCCACCTTGGAGGAGTCAGTGGGTCTGAAGCAAGCGAATGCAACACCCATAAACCCAGATAGCAGCTCCCCTTACAGCTGTCTTCACCACACATAAAATTAGACCCCCAGACAGTCATACTGTAGGCTCCAGCATGCAGAGACAACTGGGGAAAATACTGTAGAAGATGGACCCAAGTTATAGTTCCAATCTTAACTTTGGTAAGGAAGGAATACACTTAATATTTACCTATCCAACAGTCTTTTAGTGACCATCTATTCCAGCACTCTGGCGACTTAATATGGTTCAGCATGTGTGTTGTCAGTCTTTACAGTATGCAAAGGTTTTTTGTGCTTCTTCTGTATTGTGTGTGGTCTGCGCTCAGGAAGCTGTGCAGGATGCAGTAAAGTGGTGTACGGCGAGGACAGGGCCTGCCAGGCGATGGGACATTTATTCCACGACACTTGTTTCACCTGCAGCGTTTGCAGTGAGTCCTCTTGATGTGAAAGGTGGATGATTTTGTTGGAGCCTCTAAAATCTGACGTTTTTCTTTTGTTTTTGAGTTTATCTCTCAAAACCTCAGCTGATCTGTTTCTATCAAATGTCACATTATGGAACAATTTTCACCTTGTCTATTGTTTCATGTTTAGGTAAAAAGCTCAGCGGCAAGCCATTTTATACAGTGTCAGGAAGGATCTATTGCGAGGAGGATTTTTTGGTAAGAACATCCTGTTTTAGCATTGTCTGTACACAGAGTTAAAGGTCCAGTGTGTAACATTGAGGAGGATCTATTGTCAGAAATGGAACATTATATTAACAGGTATGTTTTCATTAGTGTATAATGTTTTTGCTACCCAAACTTTTTCCCTTGAAGGGCCAAAACTGAAACCTTATGGTGGGCCAGGTACCAAAAGCAAATGCCTATTGTATTGTATTGTTAAGATGCAAAATGCTACTAGCAACTTCTTGTACAAAGTGTCACTCTCTCCGCCCACTCAGACACATATTTAGAGACCATTTTTACCTTACAAAGAAATAAAACAGCAGAAACAGCGATTTAGACAATTCTTTTTTTAATTAAATGTTTTTGCTACAAACATCTGGCGGGCTAAATCGGACCTTATGGCTAGCAACTTTGGCCCCTGGGCCCCACTTTAGTCAGCCCTGTCTTAAAATGAGACGTTGAACCGCCATGTTTCTGCAGTAGCTCAAAACGGACAAGTTTCGCGGACACTGTAATTTCTCCTACACACTTCACAGTCCGTTCTTCTTCCTGGGTCATCAAATTACAGATGCGAGCGGTGTTCAGTTAGTTGCAATCTGCAACTTCACCGCTAGATGCCACTAAATCCTCCACACTTGTCCTTTAAGATATTGTACAAAAACATATGTTTGTATCCAGTTTTAACAGCAATTAACCAAATATATAATGGGTGAATTGTTCTGTTATTTAATGTAGTACTCAGGAGTTCATCCATCCCCAGAAGTGTGTAGCAGCTGTGAGTATTTAATCATGGACATGGTGAGTATGCATTCATCTACTGTCTGTGCACATTAGTATACAGTGTGTAAAGAGGAGCTAATTGTACATCTTCAGGTCTTGCAGGCTTGTGGGAAGTCCTACCACCCGTCCTGCTTTCGCTGTGTGGTCTGCAGACAGAGCCTGGAGGGTCAGCCTTTCTCTGTAGACACAGACAGTAGAGTTTACTGTGTCAGCGACTACCAGAGGTGAGTTTCTTATACAAGATCTGTGCAACAAACAATGGGCCGAGCCCACTAATTCACACTCCAGACAAAGATGAAACCAAACCCTGCCAGACGGGCTACACATGAGATAAGTCACACCCAGAGTGACTTCACTGTTGAGTTTCTGTGACCGTTTGCTGAGATTTCTTCATGGTTTCAGGGTTCAAGCTCCTAGATGTGCCGCCTGCAGAGTGCCGATACTGCCAACTGAGGTGAGCTAAATTCTTCGTTTGATTTACAGCAAGTAGAAGTAATTGATACTTTAGTGTCTGAGTAATTATCATAACGATTTCCCTCCATTTGTTGGTTGTTGCAGGGATCCACAGAGTCTATTCGAGTGGTGTCATTTAACAGAAATTACCATGTAGAGTGCTTCAGTGGGGAGGTTAACCTCATTTAAGGACAGAAGCAGGCTGACACACATCTTTCTGTGTTTTTCTGCTGATCTTGTTTTGTTTTGTTATGAATCTGTAGGATTTCCAGTCTGCAATAAAGTCGCTCCAAAGAGTTGTTTTGTGCTTTTTATTTCACATCTTTCTTGGGTAATGGTGTCATTTAATATGTTTCAAACTGGTGACCCACATTTCCTCTTCATACTATGCTGCCTTTACTGCTTTTTAGTGTAATGAAGACCTCCTCCTTGTCCTCCAGGACATATACTTTATTATATTATATTATACTTTATTGTTGTTTTGTTACCATGTTTGTTCTAAATGTTGCATTTTCTTCTGTAGCTTTTATGGTCAATAACATTATATATATATATATATATATATATATATATATATATATTCTAGTCTATTCTATTCTATAGAAACAACCGTGTGAACAAAAATAATAATAAGAAGAATGATAATAATAATAATAATGATAACTTATTGTTATATTGCACCTTTAAAAAACAGAGTTTACAATGTGCTTTCACAAACAAAACAATAGCAGTGATACACAAATATAAATTAATATAGATAGGTAGTGTTATTGTTAATAACAGTATATAATAATAATAATAATATGAATAATATCCATAATATATAATAATATGTATATATAATATGATGACTGAACAGATATACATGTATACACATAGATATTATACATTAATATTGATATAATGTAAACATGTGTCATATATTCAGCCTGTGCAAGGTGTGCATACATACATACTGTAATATATATACACAATATATATCATATGTACACACATATATATATATATACACACACAAGATATGATATGATATATAGCATATGTATAATAAATACTTGACTATTCAAGAAGATACAATAGATAATATCTTAAATATTGTTATATAATAATATTAATAATAATAATAATAATAATATATAACATATAATAATAACAACAATAGTAATAACAATATAATGTTATTAATATAATAATAATATATTGTATAAATATTATATATAATATCAACATGGTTTATATTAACACATATCACATATGATAGTATATGATGAAGTATATGTTCCCCAGGTAGATTTAGTCCAGCTCTGTGATTGTGGATCTGACAGAGGCAGATGAGTTATACAGTCTTATAACAGTGGGGAGGAACGATTTTCTGTATCGTTCCTTAGAGCAGCGGGGTTGAATAAGTCTGTTGCTGGCAGCACTTTCCTGTCCAGTTGTTAGGTGAAAGGATTGTCCATGATTGCCAAATTTTCCCCCTCCACCACCTCCTCCTCCAGGCCTTTTTAAGGAGTTTGTTCAGTCTGTTGGCGTCCTTTGCCTTGATGCCCGCACCCCAGGACACCGCAGCAGAGAAGATGGTGCTCGCCACAACAGACTGATAAAACATCTGCAACATCCTGTTGCAGACATTGAAGGACCTGAGCCTCCTCAGGAAGAAAAGCCGGCTCAGGCCTTTCTTGTAAACGGCCTCTGAGTTAGCTGACCAGTCCAGTTTATTGTCTAGTGTGACACCCAAGTACTTATACGCCAACACCATATCCACATCGGTCCCGCTGATGCTGACAGGAGAGGGCAGGGGCTTGTTCCTCCTAAAAACCACCACCTTTGTTTTTGCCACGTTCAGCTGCAGGTGGTTCTCCCCACACCACTTCACAAAGCGGTCAACCAGGTCCCTGTACTCAGCCTCCCTCCCACCCTCAACACACCCCACAATAGCCGTGTCATCAGAGTATTTCTGCAGATGACACGACTCAGTGCAGTACTTAAGTCTGCAGTGTAGGTGGTGAAGAGGAAGGGAGACAGTACAGTTCCCTTTGGGGCCCGATGTTACTAATCAGACGGTCAGACACAGTTCTTCAATCTCACAAACTGTGGTCTGCCCATCAGATAGTCATCGACCCATGTGATGAGGGGAGCACTCACCTGCATGTTCTCCAGTTTGGCCTTCAGCAGTCTGGGCTGGATGGTGTTGAAAAAAATAATGAATACCAAAATACAATAATAAGAGCAGCAGGATAGAAGCCATAAAAATAAAATATAATGAAAAAATGAATAAAATAAAAAGTCTATAAATAAATGTTTTTTAAGAAGTGAAAAAAAAAGTCACATCTCCTCAGACAGGTCGTTCAAAAGCAGAGGAACTAATCAGCCTTTGATCAAATATGTAGTTGATGGATGAGGTATAAGTGAGATGTAACCCACGTTGACAGCAGCGCCACCGTGCGTTAATAATCGGTACTACCGCAAGCTTCCCCTCCCGGAAGAAACCACTGTGGAAGTTACTAAATGAAGAGATAACCGCTGATTGAAATGGCGTCAGTCACGGTGCGCCGCTGGGCTCTCTGTACCGCGGCTCTGCTTAACTTTGCGTTTGTCTTCATATCCGGTGCAGACTTCATTCGCTTTTTATCATTTAGAGCCATTTACCACAACATCACCGGGGAGACGACGCTGTGTCAAGGTAAGCTTCCGTAACGTTAACGCCAACTGCAGCTGGCAGGCGACCAGGAGAAGTTGTTAGTTAACAGTTAACTTTTAGTGGAAGTTTCACCCAACAGTTGGCTAATATTAGATGACTTTCAGAGGCCTGACTCGTAGCAATTACTGTAAGAGTAGCTGGTGTTTTATAATATGAATGAAATTATGGTTTACAGTGAGCAAAAATCATCAACAACTCAACTAGCTTTGGTGAACTAGCTCCTGTGCTGCAGCTCAAGCGTGTCTCTTTATGTAGTCATGACAGATAGTGCTAAAGCATGAATATGTTTTACTACACTTGATATTGCGAGTATTGGCCACCAGGGGTCAGCGCCCGGCTAGCTCAGTCGGTAGAGCATGAGACTCTTAATCTCAGGGTCGTGGGTTCGAGCCCCACGTTGGGCGAACATCCTTTTCGTTCGTTGAATTTCATCTTTCTAGTTTGTTGTTTCTTTTGGTGGCGATTTCTTATCATGTATATTTATCTGTAAATTGTGTTTTTGCGTTTTGAACACTACATACTTTACACCAGTTTAACTACAGTTTGGAGTATTTACTAGAAAAACACCAACTGTTTAATTAAACTTATATTACCTTAAATTGAAATTGAGGATCAAATCTTCAATTTTATTACAGTACAAGAGGTCCAGGGTGTAATTTTTTTCAGCATTGTATCTAATAACACACATGTTTAACTATTCAAAGTGGGCATTTGTCAATCCCCAATTTTAAGTTTTACATGCTTTCTAAATGGAAGATTTTGCAGTTTTTGGTAACATGTTTTCCATCAGAAAATGTATTTTATATCTAAATTGGAAATAAGAACACAATAATAAAAAATAAGATTTCTGAAGAATTCTTATCATTATATTTCACTGTGAGTGTAGAGTTAGAGAGTGGGAACAGGTTCAAATCATAGTTTTTCAGTGATTGTAGGTAGTTTTAATTAAGGTTTTATGTGATGTTTCTTTAAATTCCCCCCAAAAAATGGCCTAATAATTTAATATATTATACAGATTATTATTATACTAAAACTAACCCCTATTTATGCACGTAATATCCAAGGGACGGAAAAGACACAGACTTGGTAGAATGACCGATGTTACTGTGGCATGTTTAACGCTTGAGTGCTTACAAACAGTACGTGTGTGTTCTTTATGGATAACAGTGTGTTATTAGACTTGACTGGTTAGTTACAGTGTGCCAAAAGAAATAAACTTCATCAGTAAACCCTGCTGCCTTCCCCAAATCATACTAAATGTGTAGGTTTTTTTATTGCAGAATAAAACTAGTTTGTGTAGTTTGTAACAGTATGTACCATATGTGTTATTATGCACTCTTATATAGGACTCTATACACAAATAACTCTTTTAATTATTGTCTGCACTGTGCATCTTGTTCATATATTTTCTCAATTTTGACTGAATAAGCTACAGCTTTACTCTACATATTAGTTTTAATTTATTTAAATTTAAAAACTGAAATAAAGACCAATAACTGTACAAGTTATACATAATGACAAATTGTTTTCAATTGACTATATTTTAATGCTCAATATTAACATAATTTATAACAATAATCAAACTCCAAATGTTTGAACTGACCTTTCTCCTCTTGTTCACCACACCTAAGACTCTATACCGTGGTCAGTGGCCCTGCAGGACAGCTCTGTCCTCAGGTCTCTTGTGGTGGATCTGGGGCTGCTGGCTCTCTTCACCACGCAGCACAGCCTGCTCGCCTGGTCACCTGTTAAACAGGCCCTTCAGTCAGTGCTGGGGGCCCTGAACAGGACGGCATACTGCTTCGCTACCGCACTGGCACTCCAGGTACAGCAACACACTCTCATATACACTTTTAATACATACATTAATGCAATTTTACTGTATTTTGTAGTTAAATTTTAACATGTTTTGGGCTTTCTAATACATGTTGTTTCCGTACACCATTAATATAATTATTCTCTGTCCTCTTGTGTTTAGATCTTGATGCATTACTGGCAGCCTGTGACTGGCGCCCCCTGTCTGTGGTCAGTGCGCCATGCACCCTGGAGTGTCTGGTTCCCTCTGCTCTGCTTCTCTCTGCACTTCTTCTGCTGGGCTATCATCTGCAGCATCCTCATGATCTTTGATTACCCAGAGCTGCTGGGCATCAAGCAGGTAACCTGTGGCCTCATTTATAAAGGTTGATACGCACAAAAGAGTGGCCCAAACAGCACGTGAAACATACCAATATTTCCCAGCAGAAGTCAGGATTTATAGAAAAATTAAATCCTGGAAAAGGAGTGAATTTCCATGCATCCTTTCACCCGTGGTTAGAGCTGGTGCACACATTCACTGCTGTGCCCACCATTATTCTTTTAGTGTGGGTGTGGAATTGAACCTTTAACCCCAAATGTTGTACACTAGACAAACCTCATTGGGCTCAGATATAAAAATCAAGAGGATTTCTGTTAATTCAACAGCTAACTCTGCAACCCACAGGCTAAATCCAGGATTAATACGCTCATTTTGATTTGATACCAAAACACCAACATGACGTACTGAGAAAAGATCAAATTGAGTGTAACAGTGATCTGTTACAGTGATTATGAAAACCTCTAAAATGTTGCTGCTGCTTAACCTAATTTGTCCCTCTGGTTCCTCAGGTGTATTACGAGTGTCTCGGTTTAGGGGACCCCCTGTCTCACAAGTCACCTCGTGCCCAGCGCCTCCTGTCTCACCTCCGCCACCCGGTGTGCCTGGAGCTGGGAGTCGTGCTGTGGCTCCTGCCGGCCTTGTCCCTGGACAGGCTCCTGCTGGCAGGGACTCTGTCGACCTACCTGGCCCTGGCACACTCCCTGGACAAACAGGATTTAGCCTACCTCTGTGTCCAGCTTAAAAGCAAGATGCAGCTCTTGTCCGAGCCACACCAGGGCAGCGCCGACACCAACGACCAGTCCAACAGCAATCACAAGGAGAAGTGAAGTTACAGTCTTCTTACTGCTGTGATGTGACACTGCTGTCTTAATATTAACCACAAATATTGTTCTGAAAGTGACCGGTTATCTACTGTGCTTTGACCACACTCAAACTGAATTCTTTGCAACTTGACACTGTATTTTTTAGAATTTTATTTTCACTACATGTGGTTACAGAAAGGGAGAGTTTTCTTACAAAAGGAGATTTTTTTATTCCACCATTTTAAAACACAAACAAACTCTGATAATGAGGTTGTATCAGTTTTTTAAAACGTGGCTGGTGTTACATTGATTTTTATATTTGTTCATCATTGTATTTTAGATATTACACTGTTACATACCATGTGACCACTGAGATTTCACACTGGCAAAACCGCAGCTTTATTTTTACACATTTTGCAGCTATAATGAAAAACAAGCCTCATTGCATTTCCAAGATTATGAATGTATTTTCTTTATATTGTGTCGGGGACACGTCAACAGACCAATTACATTCCACTGGAATCTGAACAAACTGAATAAAGTTGGAAACCGCTTATTAGCAGAGCGACCAGTATTTTTCTAAACAGGTTATTAATTCTTGATCTTCAAAGTACTGTAATCTTTGATTCAACATGTATGAGTTGTCCCATGTCTGCATTGTGCCCTCACTGTAATGACAATAATAACTGTAATGTAATAAGCTCTATACTGTAGGTGTTTTGTACTGTTTATATCTTCTTATCAAGTCTGTTCTTTATTTTTAAGTTGCACCTGTTTGAGAAGCTGCTGTTGTTATATTTGCATTCATTTATATGAACCTTTCATTCAAAGTGGTGGAGCAGTTATTCAGATCTTTTACTAAAAGTCCTGCACTGAAAATATTACTTTGGGAAAATAGCCCCTGTGACTGTTACAATAATATAATTGACCATATAATTAACATTTCACTGTTGCAGTTGGGTGAGGGAGTGGGAAAAAGTCCAATACAGTTTTAGTGAGTTTGAATACAATTACATAAATATTAATCATTAAACAATACCCCCCTTCCATAAACAATCTTTGAGTCAACTAAAATACTGAAAACATGACAGAAATTTGGCATCTGGAACTAGATTTGCTAATTAAAGAAAATAATTGGATGAACATGCGCTCAGATGCCAGTTTATTGGGTAAACTTAGCTAAAACTAATGCAGTCTTATTAGTTTAGTTTATTTGTAATTATCTTAGTTAAAAACTAATGGCAATTCCTAGGAGAGACAAATGCATGAGGCAGCCATCTTGGGTGGCTATACTAAAAAGAGTCACCCATTGACAGTATTGATGATACAACAGTCCTGATATAAATCCAACAATTTAACTGTATAATCATGTTGGTTGCAGTTTGTGGTGCTGTTAATTTGTATTATAATTACAGGTTTTTCTGTTATTTAATTGGGTGGACATAATCTGTAACAGCACCACAAACTGCAGCCTCCTAATTGACCATACAGCTGAATCAGTTCCAACAAAAACTGACTGTACAGATTATAACATGGAAATAATTTGACTGGAACAATAAAATGAGATTTTTTTCAGTGCCCCCCTGCTTACATTAAATCAAATAGTTGGGAAGTCATAGTCATATTGGAAGAAGCCCTCTTAATATATATATATATATATATATATATTAGAAGAATATATGAGAAAAAAGAAAAGATATGAATAAACTTTAACCTCTAACTGCATGCTATTTCTTATCAAACATTATATCACAACAAAATATACTTTGTTTATTAAGATTTGCAAAAACACTTAACTGCAAACCTGCAGAGTAAATATGTATTTGTTATATATATTATGTATATTTTGACCATTTTCAGGTGGATTAGTGGAATTGATCAAGTTTTCTCTCTTGTAGAATTAACTTATTACTGACATGTATTACTACTATTACTATTTACTGGGACAAGTAATAGTATTACTAGTAATGAGTTGCTGCCCAACACTGATTATGAGGGAGGTTGATCATGTCTGGTCTGCCTCAGGTAAACCTCCGTCCCTTCCTCCCTCCTCCACCTCTTCGTCTTCCTCCTCCTCTTCTCCAATTAGCCCTGCGTCCCGCAGGAGGGATGAGTCGAGGGAGGAGGTGGGGGGTTGGAGCCCGGGCAGACGGCTATGTTCTTTAAACGCCTTTTCTCAGGTCCGACAATATGGTGTGTGCCACTAAACTCTCCTGACGGAATTTAATGTAGGCTAATTATCGGATTACAGCGCTGCCGCTCTGAAGCTGGAAATATTTACTACTATACCGAACACGGACGTGTTCTCATGCTCTGATGCACAGTCAGGTCGTGGGCTGATTTGACTGGGTGGTACAGAGGTTGTTTTTTTTAAACCCTCCGTTTTGACAGCATAGATTAATCTGTTGGATATTGCCGAAGGGGATTTCCCATCGAGGAGTGGAGCACAAGTGGAGATGACAACTTTAAAGTCGAAGCGGATTTAGTAATATCTTGGCAAAAAAAAACCTCTGGGTTTCTGGTGAGTTTAATTGAACATTTTCATTATAAATATTACACTAAAGCAGACAGGGATTCTCTGTTACATGTGCATCATGTGCATGATATTTTCATAAAGTTTATTATATCATTTTGTGTTTAAGTTGGACTCAGTGGACCTGTTTACCTGACCTGTTTACCTGTTAAACTGAGATTGCAGGCTAGTGTTGAGAAATGTTGTCCCATGCTGTGATTCTGCATTGATTTGCATATTTATTTATACTATTAAACACTGAAAATACCTATCAACTTCATATTACTTCCCTGCATTTTGGAGTTTTTACTTTTTTATGTCCCAGAAGTTCAGTTTCGGGTGATATACACCTGAATTTAACACAATTTTAGACAAGTGGGAGACAAATGACTTTGCTTAATCTTTTCTCCATTTGTGTTCCCAGAGGCTCTAAAGACGAACGCCATATTGTCCAAAACCCAGCACCTTTTCTGTTATGTCTGTCTCCTCTCTGCCGGAATGGAAGCAACTCCTCCTGGAGAGAAAGAGGAGAGAAGAGGAGGAGCGAGAGAGGAGAGAGAAACAGGAGGAAGAGAAGTTTGCCAACATGCCCGCCTGGAAGCGAGGGATCATCCAGCGGAGGAAGGCGAAGCAGGACAATTTGGGTGACAGAGAAAAGGACAGAGACGTCTGTCTGCTGCAGGTGGATGTCAGAACTCCTTCTGATGGTCTGAGTGACACGGACAGCTTTGTAACAGTCAATTTGGGAAGCGAACTGTCACTTAGTCCAGATCCGGGGCAATGGCTGGATGCAGACCTCAGACCAGTGAGTCAGGTGTCTGTAGAAACTATAGTTCCCGTCCATGAAAACCCATTTATTCGCACCCAGAGTTCGTGGAAGAAGGGTAAGGATGCAGAAGTAGGGAACGAGCCGGAAGCTAAAGAGAAGGAGAAAGACAAATCGAGCCCCAGGAGTCAAGATGGGGAGTCAGGAAGAGGAAGAGATATAGAAATGAAAATAGAGAGATTCAGAGATTTAAGTGAGGGCCGGGAAAAAGAGAGGGGCAGGGACAGGAATCAAGGAAGAGAAAGAGAGAATAGCAGGGAGGGATTGGAAAAAGATAAAAGCCAGTGGAAAGAGTCAGCGAAAGATGCAGTCCGAGAGCGGGAATTCCTCAAAGTAAGAAAAGACGAGGAGGAAAAAGAAACCGATCCACCATCTAGTTCATTTTCTCCCCTCGTCCCGTGTCTTCGGACCATCCGAGCTGACAACATCATCATCATCGAACAGGACAGAAAAGGCAGCGACGAGAGGAGGGGTAGATGGCGGGAGACGGAGAGGGAGAGGCCAGAGGAGGACCAGCAGGGGAAGAGAGGGATGAAGATGGACTTGAGGGAGATTTTGGCTGGAGGGGGAAGCGTCACTGAGATCCGAGCCTCCGAGGTTCTGATCATAAAGCCCTCGGCAAGCCCTGAAGAGAGGAATCCAGCAGGAGGAGGAGGAGGAGGAGGAGGAGGAGGAGGAGGGAAAGGTTCGGGTAAAGAGGATGGAGAGATGAAGGGCAGCATGGATGGAAGGCGGGAGAGTATGGGTAGGGAGCTCAGGACAGACATGTCCTGGATGAGAGAAAAAGAGAAAGAGAGACCTTGGGGCCAGGCAACAGTTATTAAAGAAGACAGGAAGGACAGCACGGATGATAGTGTTGTTGACAGAGGAGGGAGGGTCAGCCAGCTGCTGAGTAAATTCGGAGAGCACCCCAAGCCTCCATCTCGATCCAAAAGCTCTGATAATTTCCTCCGGCCTGGGAGGAGAAAATACTCAGGAGATGACGATGACCAACTATCCGAGGCAGACGCGAGGAATATGCTGTTTAAAGGTGTGCCGAAACGCTCATTTAGCTTCTCTGACCGTGTCATCTGTTCTAAAGAGAATGGTTTAGATGACGATGGGTATTATGAGAGAAAACTACGTGAGAAGATGCATTTAGACAAGAGTGTAGCACTGTGGGGCTTGGAGAAGGACACTACAGCAAAGATCAAAATGGGGTGCGCACGACTTTTAGATAAAGACAGGTTTGGAAAGCACAGAGAGAGGCAGTTAAAAAAGGAGGATGAAAAGGGGGGGCAGAGGAGCGAAGTTAAGAAAGTAGAACCCATTGACACAAGGGCTGCGGAAAAGGCAGGTGATGCAGATGGAGACGAGGGGTTTACAGTGGCATCTGTCAAAAACACAGAGGGAATCTCGTTTGCTAGAAGAATACCTATCAGGCAGGATGGGAAAACAAAAGCTGAAAGAGAAATGAAGCGACTGAGTTTAGAGAGAGAGCTGAGTATAGAAAAAGATTCAGAGGCGGTAGGACAGATTGAGGCGCAAGTTTGCGACAAAAAGTTGTCTGATTTTCGGAGAGAAGAAGGATTCGAAAGCATAATCCCACCAGAAGCTGTGCAGAAGAGTTCTGTTGTTGCTGCAACAGAGCTTGCCAGTCTATGTCACGCTGCTGAGAGTCAGTACACACACGAATCAGCTTTCACAGAGTGCACCAGTCTACTCTGTCCTGTCACAGATAGGGCTCGAGACCCCCATAGAGCGCCAGAGTGGAGTGGTACAGGGCCACAAGGACCTTACCTAACACACTCAGTTTTGTCCCAACACACAGAAGATCTTATAAGTAAAATAGAAAAAATAGGAGACACAACTGTTTATAGCAATGAGAAAGGAGAAAGGGTTTACAAGGCTGCTTATGAAGTGAGCAAAGAGAGCAAACAGGAGGCGCAAATGTACAGTGATTCTGGATCAGAGACCCTTGTTCATGATTTAATCCCCAGATCTCCAAAAAAAATTGCACCCATGGGGATCCCTCCAGGTCCCCTCGAGATTCAAATCCCAAGAGCTGTGTTTTACGTTGGTGAAGAAATGGTGGAGAGAAAAAAGGCCATAGGCCAAAGCGATGAGGGGCAAGACTGGGAAGGAGGTAAAGGGGTTGAGAGAAGGGATAGCTGGAGGATCGGAAAACCCTTGAGCCGCATCGAGTCCCTGCGAGAGAAAATCAGACAAAGAGAGCTGGAGAGACAGAAACAAAGAGAGGCACAAGATGCGGGTGGGAGTGAAGGTGCGGATGTAAATGTCTCTCAGACAGCCGGGGACAGGCATGATGAGAGGGGAACTGAAATGGAGGCAGAGTGGGAAGCTTCAGCTCATATGCGGAAGAGGCTGGTCGAAGCCGAGAAAGGACAGGAAGATGAAGAAGCGCAGACATCCGTGACTGCATTTGACGTCACACAGGAAGTCAGCGTGTTGAAAACCTGCCCTCAGCTTCCTGTTTCTGTCCCACACTCACAAGCTGTCAGTGGAGAGGAAGTAACAAGCGGGTATGCCACTGCTGCCTCCGAAGTTATCTCTGACAGCTTCCAGATATCTGAGGATGAAAACGACCCAGTGAAACATGTGGAGGAACAGCTGAGGCGCCACCGGGGCCAACACGAGAACAGAGAAGACAGGGAGGAGGAGGAAAAGGAGCTCTCAGAGGAGGAGTTAGAGGAATATACATTGCCTCTCGATCCTGTACAATCTCTCTCCCCTTTGCCATCTCATCCCAACTCCCTCGCAGCCATGAGCCGGATCTACAACTTGGAGACAGTTGGCTCGAGGTCAGGCTTGTGTCTGAGGGAGAGGACTGTAGACATCCCATCGGTGCACCTCGTTAAAGTGAAGCCCCTCATGTCAAACGCACAGCAAGGCGACAACAAAGGATTCTCAGGTGAAGACTTTTGTGGGGTTCAGACAATACAACGACAGATAGAGCAGTTTCAGCTGAAAGAGCAGGAAGTGCTGAAGTCCTGTACGTCACCAAACACTCCTCTGAAGGACAGAGAGACAAAGGTGCAGCAAAGCCCTAGAGGATTGTTAAAGCACCAGATAAAGGACGATGCCAAGACCCAAGAGAAAGATCAAGAAACGTCAAGCCCCAAAGTGTCTCCTCGGGGTATTTGTTCTCCAACATCTCAGCTCAAACAGTCTAACCAAACTATCACCATCTCCCCCTCAATTCTCAGAAGCCAATCCCCGGACAATACTCTAAAACCCTCGGATTGCGCCCCAACCCCGGCCTCCTCCCCGTGCTCCCCATCTCCTGCCCAGTCTCCTAGTGTGTCTCCATCTCCAACCCCATCACCCACGCTCTTCTCCATCAGGAGTGCCTCTGGAGGTAAAGTGAAGAGAGGAGGGGCCACCATCACAATCTGTCCGAGAAAGCCTGCTGGAGGAGGGGGAGCAGGGGGAGCAGGTGGAGTGACGGGGTCTCCAACAGGGTCCACAGCAGCATTGTCAACAGCCCCAAAGACCTCAACGTTGCCGGCCCAGACCACCTCCACTGTGGCCCAGCCAGCGAAGAAGAAGTACCCCACAGCGGAGGAGATTGAGGTGATTGGCGGATATCAAAATCTGGAGAAGTCCTGTCTGGTCAAGAACAGAGGGACCCAGAAAAGGGTGAGTAGAAACTATAGTTTTATTCTCTCCCAGTCCCAGTAACAATACAATTGTAAGACTTGACTGTATTTCAAAATATTGTCAAAATGGCGATGAAATTCATCAGAGGAGGGCCAAAGGGCATCACCTTGTGTCACCTGCCTGATGGTCCCTCGTCGTCAAGCAGAATCCCCTTTCACTGGGAGAACATCCCTTTTGATTGAGAAGTGCGATCACAGAGACTGACGTAAGCCGGTTAAAGCCTTATCAAGCACGACATCTTGATTCTTAGCCATAAAATCCTGGAGTGATCTGCTTTGCCATTTGCTTCCCCAGTCTAATTCTTTGCAGACTTTTGAGTTTTATCGTATGATGATGATCTCACCAGACATATTTTAGCCAAATGTGTGGGCAGTGGTACAAATGCCATCTTTCTGGATGTTTATTATTGGGACAAAACCACAGAAAGACTGTGAAAGCAAACTGCTAGTTGCTTTGTGTTTTGAACAAGGGTCATTGCAAATGCAAGAAAAGATGTTAGATATGATTTTGATTTGATTTTATAAAGTTGTACAGTTGCACAGTGCAGTACAGCTCGGCCTTAAGCAAAACATTCTGCCTTCTCTCCCAAGCTTGGCACACAACGTGCTACAAGAAAGGCTCCCTTTTTCATAATCATTCAACCAAAAGAAATCATGGTAAATGGAGGACGTTTTACTAAAGAGTACATCCCTTATGTCCTTGTAGACAGGACAGCAAAACCAAAAGTGAACCTCATTCTCAATTAGATCACACAACAAACAAAGTCTGTCCTTCTTTGGATTAGTATTAAACCTACAGGGCTAATGGTAATTTTCCTAAACGCAACATTGCCTTTTAGTTTGTTTAAACTTCTGCAGTAAGATTGCAGGCTCCAGAGACAGAAAATTTGCGTAGGAAACCACAATGACAAGCAGCCAGCTCCTTCCTCACAATTTCTTTTGCTTTTTGCCTGCCTACCTAACACCACATGTGCAAGACCGCACTGGTATTTACAGTAACTCCGTCTGAGCAGTTTCAACTCAGTGAAATTCACTGGAGTCAAAGTTCATATTAGGACTTTCATGTTTCCTCTTTTTAACTTTTTCTGAGTCTAGTCCTTGTTTGTCAAAGATTGGCACATGAGCTCTTATGTAATAAAGGAGAAGACTGGATGACAAAGGTGCTCAGCAGAGCAGAAATGAACTTCATGACACCATCCTGTGATGATGAATCTGACTGTATTCATGTGTTTCATTCAACCTGACTGCCTATTAGAATTTTTTTTCTATATAAGATTTGTTAAACTGCTGGTAAAGTCCTCTCAGCCTACAACTGAGTGTGTTGCAGACTGCTTCCTTGTTCCCTCGCACCAGTTCTGCCATTTTTGTTGAGTCAGCTCTCCTTTCCTCTCAGACAAATCTCTCTTTGTATCTTCTTGGCTGTTTCCTAGCGGGGGTTTGGTTTGTTAGACTGGAGTCTTGGCAAACAGTTTTTGACCACGCTGACCCTCCACTGCATGGTAGAGCGTTACTGACAGCAGGCCCCAACTTAGTTTGACGTGGGTGAAATGGAAAGAGAGAGAAGACAGATTTTGTCAGAAAGAGAATAACTTGATGGTAGTATAACGTGTTAGAAAATGACAGTTCAACAGTCATACTGAAAGGATCAACGATGTTATAGGTTTGTTATTTAGTCAGAAACTCCCTGTCACACTGCATGTTTATGCTCACTTCCTCTTTCAAACTTCTTCACTTCCTCCGAACAAAAGACACAGTGGAGCTGTACCCATTTTTAAATCACCAAATGCGACTCAGACACTAAACTGTTTCAATACAGGGCCATCTGTTTCAAGAAACTGGTCTATAGTAATCAACACAAAAGTGAAAGAGAAAGTAGGGTTTGATGCTGTACTCTTTGTACTTCCCAGCTCTGCTCTTCAGACTTCTAATGAAGCATTTCATCTATAAGCACAGACCTCTTTAGCTGCAGTGAGTGACCACTTTACGGCGCTGATTCTCTGACCACCTGTCGCTCTCTTGTTGATGCCCTTCAGACTGTTTGACGTCAGGCCTCCTTCCCTCCCCCATCTGATCCATGCCATCATGTCACAGAGGGGGGTGACCTGCTTGCTCCTCGTCTTCTTCCTCTCGTCTTCCTCCTCCTCTTTTCCCTCTTCGTTTCCCACTTCATACGTATGCTTTTAATCTTGGACCGTCTTTCCCTCAAACTCACCCTGCATTGATTCTCGAAACAAAAAATATGGTGTTTTTTGTTGTTTGAAATTTAAGAATCTGTCTGAAATTTTATTAATTTATATTAGGAACTTTGATTAGATAACTTATATTAGAATTTGTTGGTCAAAATCAATGTATTAATTCCTATTATAAACTTTTCCTCTGCTGCTATTTTTCATACATGCTTTTGAAAGGATTGCATTGTCTTCTTTAACACAAATAGAAACGTGCAAACAAGCAGTATTGTAAAGAAGTGTTGTCAAATATTAATATACCAGGCTTTTATTTGCTTCAATCACTGAACTCGACCAGGCGTCTATTTGGGACAGGCCTTTAATGTCTTTTTGCACAAAACTCTTGCTTAAAAAAGATTCAAACCAGTATAAATGTTACTTGTATAAATCAGTTATGAATTATTAATTGGATCATTTTATGCTTTGGTGCTCATGGTTTCCCTAAAATTAACTGAATGATTGAATCTAACGATGTGTAGCATGTCCATATTGACAAAAGTTAAAATATTTATATTTGTGCAGGCGATCTAAGCAGCTTAGAACTCGCTCAAGCGGGTGACCCGGTGGGAATTTATATCAAATCTAGACCAGGCGTCCAATTGAGGCCTGCATTTATTTGTCAAAACTTGTAGCCACAGCAGGCTAGTAAAGGGGATCCTGCTTTTAGCTGAAGTTTTACGGTAAATGTGAATTTCCTGCTAATGAAAACTTCCCTCTTTGCCTCTCTTATTCTACTCTTTCAGTTTCTGTCTCTCACCCGGTGCCTCTGCTGTCCTGCTGTGTTGGGTTAATCGGGTTCAGGGAGGGAGGATTAGCCTCCTGTGCCTTAGCATGATTCGCCCAGCCCCTCTAATGCAGAGCTATTATCTGCACTCCTCTGCAGACAGCCGCTGACGGGTGAAGCTCGTATACTGCGTGCAGTGTGGCGTCTGTATGTTTCAGGCACCCCCCCAGATCATGTCTGTTTACTACTGTACACGTCTAGGCCTCAGAGCTGAGCTGCTGTTATTATAAGAAACACCGTGGATGTGCTGCACTGACCTATCGGCCTATTTCCTGTTGGGTCTGTTTAAACCTCGCTGACCTTTGAGTAAACAGACACCACACAAATATCCGTCAATCCAGGCAAAGACGAGTTAAACGCTTTATCTATTCCACACTAAACCTCCTCCTGCAATATGTGCAATGACAGTCTTTCTGTGAATAATCTGGAAATTAGTGCATGAAGTGTTCAGTCAGTAAGCACTCTGCAGAGGGAGTATTTCGGCTGTGTTAAGCCTCATGCTGTCAGTTAATATTACACTGACAGAGTACAAACATCTCACAGAGACAGGCTGAGACTCTCCTCAGTGCCTCAAAGCTTGTTTACGTTTGACCAAGTAAGCACATGTCAAAGGAAAAAACTGCGATATGGCACGTATACTGCTCTTTGTCCTCATCTGAGGGAAAAATGACATTTTAGTTTTGACAATTCTGTGTGTGTTTGAAACAGCCACATTTCCCTTCACAGAAAGACAGACGTGTTTAAACTTTAATTTTAACTATTTAATTTTAAGATAATATTTTCCAGTCATATCATTCTCAACAAATTCTGTTTTGATCCTGATACCTCTCGAAGCTAATTACATTTAGCTTTTGCAGATGTATTTAAATCTTGTATGTAGATCAATAAAAAAAAACTTTTTGTCGATTTCAAATCCTATAATTTTGACACTAGAAAATCAAATTCTTGCTTGAACATGTTGCTCTACTCTTTAAAAATAGTTTTTGCCATTTTGTCTTCAATCAACAGATAACAATAGACCGAGGACTCACTACAGAGCCGAATATAAACACAAAACATGCTAAATACAGGACAAAAAGCAGAAGATCTGATATGAAATGTATCTCCAAATTCTTCCAAATTATGATAATTTCTCCTTCTTGTGAGTGATTGATATATACATATCAATATATAACATTGATATGTATATATCAATGTTCTATATTGCGATACTGTAAGCAGAGTGATATAGTGGAAAATCATCATCATAGTATAAAGAACACTCCACTATATGCTTAAAATCTGAGTTCTGGATCTGCATTTATTCTCACAGTCGCTGTAACATCCCACATCATAGCCCTCAATTTATGTTTACAACACTGCTGTCTAGTTGTTGGGGGTTTAATAGATACAATATCACAAAAGAAAATATCTCTATACAATATTCTCATACACCCCTAATGCCCCAGCCCCCTTTTGGGTGAAAGCAGTCCCTCTAATTTATAAAATAAATATAAATAAATGCAAATTCAGATGTCTTTGCCAATTCAATAAATAAATTGATCATATCAAATAGCTTTTTAGCTATTAGGAAATCATACGGCCAGTCAGGCAAAAAATTATGTTGTGTCATTGCAGTAAACTAATAAATTGCTGTGGAAAAGCAGAACTGCTGTCTAAACTTTCATAGCAGTTTATTACTACGAGTCCACTTCTACTTTATGCTATTTACAATGTTTATTATTAGAAGGTCAGCTTAGAAGGTCAATTTTTGCGTATTATGAAATTTAAAGTACCCTCTGCTCAGGACTTTCAAATTTTCCTGGTTCGCTTCAATCTACAGTTACAATTGGCACACATCAGTAACATCATTAACTAACCTGCGATGAAGTGTTTGCTGCACATGTGCACATATTGACGGGCCGGGTCCCACAATTGACCACATTTTTGTCCTCTGTGGATGGCCTGAAGCATTTTTGGGGATGAAAATACAATTGCAAACTGGGATTTCTTTTAGTTGTTGTTATTATTTTTTAATGCAACGCAGCAGGTTTGCAACAAGACCTACACTAAAGAAAGAAAAAATTTATTTGACTAGAGCACAGTAAATGTAAAATAATCTTCTCCTTACTCGTGTTTACAGGGAAAGGTGTGTTTCGACGAGGAGCAGCTGGAGCAGGTGTGTGAGTACCCATCAGAGACCTCCATGCTGGCTTATTCCCCCCACCCTCATGACCTGTGGAAGCTGCAGGGAGAGACGGAGCAGGAGCAGGAGGCTGGAGTGGAGGGAGTAACGATCGTGTCCAAAAGCACAAAGAATGTGGGGATTTCAATGGGACGGGGTATAAGAGTGGGTCAGTGTCACCCCCTTCTCAAAAAACACAACGTGTAGTGAGTGAGATTATGGATTCACATTGTTTTGCCATTCATGACGTCTTACAGACTCTCCCAAAGACTTTACTCCGGCTCAGATGGCAAATTTCTGTTTCTTGTCTGTTTATTTTCACTGTGTTGTCACCACATAAGAGGGGCTGGAGTGCCTGAACTTTCCTTAAATTATATGTCTGGCAATATTTTACTCTATTGTATTTTTCTTATTGTCAACAAATACCAAGAAAAGACCAAAAATTAACAATCAATTATTTCCCATGAAGCCAAATATAGCCTGATGTAGCTTATTTCTCTGCACCAAAGAGCTCAAGTTTTGTTCAAAAAACCGTTATAAACACATAAATGAGCTACTGTTGTACTGTAGTACATGGCAAAGCCTTTCTTTAAACTTAAACAATGTATTTGTGACCCATTTTTAAAGCTTTAAGTGTTTAGCAGTAAAGAATTGGTTTGGGAATTTAGAGACAATTGAGACAGACTAAAAGTGCTTTTCAGTCGCATTAGCTCTCCGACCGTTTGTTAATTTTCTCTTATTTTGCTCATTATTTCCCCTGACATTTTGTTCTCATGAATGTACATTATTTTATTCAGTAACGAGTTATTGAAGTAGCTAATACACTGACAGTTAGCAAGCTAAAAGTAATTTAGCAAGTCTGTTTGCTCGGTGGCTAATGTAATCCTGTTTTTTCCGGTATCTGTACTTTACTTGAGTAGTTATTTACTACATTTTTACACAAATATCTGTACTTTCTACTCCTTACATTTTCAAACCATGCTTGTTACTTGAGTTTTAATGCATTTGAGGGGTATTTTTGCATCATTTCATCATCAAGACCGGTGCGTATCATATATATCATATCAAACAATATAAAAGATGTAACGACGTAAAACATTCGGTAGAAATATCATTCAGAGAAACGAAGAGAGTACTTTCTAATTTCATACATTGAGTACATTTTAGAGCTTGTTGAAGTTGAGTCCGTATTTCTACTTTTACTGGAGTATTTTTTTACACAAGTACCTGTACTTCTACTTGTAGTAAAAAATATGTGCACTTTTGCCACCTCTGTTCTTTTGACTTTACTCAGGATTTGTTGACAATAACATAAGAAACATCTGGAATAACGCCAGCCTTATCCTTTCAATAAACAAACTGACCAATTTTCAGAGTTTTGCAAATGGTAGCGGAGGGGGCAAAACTAACAATTATATTGGTTTTAAATGGGGGCGATGTAAATTGAATATTATTAGGGAGCAAATGGAATGGTATGGTTGCATTTATGGTCCTCAGAAAGCCATAAATGTCACTGCTGGTGAATGGGAATAATTAGAAATATTTAAAATATAGCATATAAATCCTATAATCACCTCATTTACCTTCCACCTCTCTGTCTTCCAGATGAGTCTTGCCCTCGGTAGAAGCCAGTCACATCGCCAAAATTGCCCATGTGACGAGATCACCAACATTTTCTTGAATGATATTATGTGATTTTTATTATGTTTTGGTTCTTTTGAATTACTGAATCGAGTGTTGACGTGAGTGTTTGTACTCCTTGTGGTGTTTTGTTTTATCTAGCATCAGAGTGAATGAGTGTCGTGGAAGATACAGTACAGTTTGTTTTATGCAGTTGAAAAAGGAATTGTGTTTACTGGGGTAAATATCACCTAGTTTTACTTTCAGGGAAACTGAGGGACAAATGTGAATGTATGCATATGGTACATAATATAAAAAAGACCCTCAGCGGTGCACTGAAGGATCACTTGTCTATGCAATATAAAGAAACTGATAAGATTTTATTTTTTAGTTCATATATTTTATAGCTTTATTGTTAATTACTTTCTAAATTTAAGTCAGCACTGCCTCAGCACAGAAGAGTGATGTTTATATCATCTGGTTTCATGTGCCTGCTGGATTTGCCCATACAGATGATCAGTTTATAGATATTTGTATATTTATATACAATATTTATATTTTTCTTGTCTGAAGCCTTGTGGAAAAACGTCCTCTCAGCGGGTGTTGTGTTGAGCGTTGCAGGAACAGGGGTGGTGCAATGTGTGCAGGACTTTTCGAGGTCTTTTGTGGGGTTTATTTGAGCCTTACTGTTCACAGTGACAACTCTGGTAACAGTTCATGTGTATGGATATAAATAAAGGTATTATTTTGTTTTTTTTTGTCACATTGAAGTGGGCGGAGCTGTGTGAGTGAAAGTCTCTGAGAGAAAGCGGAGTTGAGAACATAAACAATTCAATTCAGATTAACTTCATCATATTACAGCCGATATCTGACTTTTGACTGTGCTACGTTTATAATACAATATATACAGAGTGTTTCTTGTTTGTAAATTCCTATTTTAATTGGTAAAAGAAGATGCAAGTTATTATTTTTTATTCTATGACAGTTGAAGAAGCTGGCTTCAAGAGAAAAGATAATAAATATCTCTGAAAACAGTTTTGTCTCTTCTTTTATTTGTTTTTCTCCCTTTGATCAAAATGATGCTTCTCATACACTTTTAACTGTATCCAGTGATCTTCGTCAGCAGATGAAGTTTTCCAGGTTGAAATTTAAAAAAATGCAGCAGTTACATACTTTTTGGCATTTTTTTATGTTAATATCAAATCAGCAAAATAAAATGTAGCCTCAGAACATTTCACACACTATATAAGTAAAGTTACCACTTTTTCTACAACACAGAGGGAAATATTGTACTTTTACTTTAGTTACAAGTTACTTTAAAAATGAATTCGAGTTTTTGCACACAAAACATATAAATATTTACAGCTGAAATGATTAGTCGATTAATTGATTGAACAGAAAATTAATGAATATGAAAAAAAAAGTGATGCAAAAACATTTTAATGGAGGTTTGTAACAGACAAAACAAGTATCTTGAAGATGTCACTGGGTTCTGGGTAATTGTGACAGTGGTTCCTCACAATTTCTCATGTTTTTTTTTCAAACCAATCAATCAATCAATCAATGGATAAAATAATCCATAATGAAAATGATAATAAGTTGCAGTCCTATACAATACAATAGTAAAACTACTATTAGCTCCACCTCAACCAACTATAACAGTTAAATCCTGCTTTTACTTTAATGCATGAGTAATAATAAAGTAATAATAATCTATAATAGTATAACAGTCACTGCATTGAGTAGATTTACTTTTAATACTTCAGATACTCTTTTCTGATCATGCTTACATAGTTTTCCCTATGTATTTCAATGCAAGAGTATTTTTACAGTGTGGTATTAATACTTTTACTTAATTGAAATACTGTTTACAACAACATAAAACACCTTTAAGCTCGACAAGGTTTTTATTAAATTCTTCTTTTCTTTTATCATCTAGCTCCCTCTGGTGTGTTTGTATATCTGTTTTATTGTTGTTGATATTGTTTTTTTACACGAAACTTTAAACAGCGCCATCTCGAGGTGTAACAGCGACACTCCGCGGACAGACGCGGTATTACACGTTGAGTTTTTCCAGTCACGTAGCTGTTTACGGAAACATTTTTACGTCAACACGTGTGCAAGCTTGTAGCGTCAGTCCAGCTCGGTTCAGTACGTGAATGTTTGCATGCTCGCCGTTTGAAGGAGGAAAACACGGAGGGATTTGACTTTTTTTTTTTTTTTACCACATGCACGAGTGTTTTCCAACTAGGGTCTACCGAGCGATGAGGACTCTCCTACGCATCCACCGTGGAGAAGTAGGAGGAGGGCTGGGCTTCATTTTGACCGTCTGACTGTGTGGAGGGGATTGTGCAAAAGTTATCCGATAACAACAATATAAAAACAAAAGCTACTTTTTTGTAACACAGATGCAACACGGGTTGGATTTCTGATTTAAGGAATCATGATTTTGAGGAAAATCCAAGCAGGATCCTGCAGAGCATGGCTGTCTCGGGTGAGTGTTTCTGTTTTTAGAGTTAACTTTAACGCTAAAGAGAGACTAACTGTTGACATATTGGCCTATACCCTTCCACACAGCGCGGTTATTATAGCAACAGAGCTGTTAAACGAATAAGAGACAGCGGATCATAGTTCCCCAACAAATCTTCAAAACTTCCTATTTTGATACGCCCTAGTCGTGCCCTGCTTTTGTTGGCATTTAGTCAAACTCTGATGGAAGTCATTGCACTGTGCTGACATGCAGTTACTGCACCGTCACTATAATTACACTTTAAAAAGTTTTAATTTGATTTCCCCACAAAGGGAGTTTGTAGTGCAGTTCAAACATATTTCACTCAGTTCTCCAAAAGTCCTTAAACGTCTCACTGTTCCTTCCCAGGTGTCATTGAGGCAGGAGCAATGTTTATCCTCCTCTGTGCCCTCCCAGCCGGTGCCCCCTCTGGCCCAGACCCTGCAGGGCTACCTGAGGGCCCTGGAGCCCCTGTTGCCTCCCGAGGAGCTCAGCCACACCCGCAGGATGGTGCAGGAGTTCAGCAGGCCCGGCGGCCTCGGCGCACAGCTGCAGGAGGGCCTGGAGAGGAGAGCCAGAACCACGAAGAACTGGGTCTGTGTCTGCTGTGTCTGTGTGGGAAATGGGACAGGTGTTAGAGATGGATATGAGTGTGTTTGTAAAGCACAGATAGAGCTGCTGTGGTTTGTGTAAAGCACTTATTGGTGGGTATGAGAGCACTGTTATGTATCTATCAGGCCAAAGCAACAACAGAACATCTGCTCTGTAGAAAGATAAAGTCTGACACCAAATGACTGAAAATGATGTATTACTATATCTGTTAAGTTGTTGTGCACTTAAGGTATTGGACAAAGCAAAGAGGAATCAGAAAAAATAAAGTTCTCAACAAAAACTACATGCATAATTCAGAAAGACTGAACATGTCATTTTAATAATGCACACTGCGAGAACTGTGCTCAAAAATCAGAATCTGCCCAATAAATAAATTCACATTTAAATAATAGAAATGTTTTAAAGGTTTCCAAGATATTTTGCTAATTACTAACTAAATACATGGGGCTGAAACATTGAACATATATATAAATAACACATCTTCCTTATTATAGTAAAATAAATGTTTACAATACAAAACATTACATTTTATTCCCTCGTTTTATAAATCTGACATCAGTCCTTCCGTTCTGTGGTTATTACAGTTCACTTAACTAAAAACCAAAACTAGCTGTGGAAAAACAACAAATACAGCAAATGTCTTTAGTTTTTTTGTTTGTGGATTTGATCAAATTTGTCATCACACCTCTCCCCTGTAGATCTCACCCTGGTGGGTGCAGTGGGCGTACCTGGAGAGCAGACAGCCGCTGCCGGTGCACTCGAACCCGGCCATCTCTCTGCCCAGGAGAGATTATAATGGCTGGAGGAGCCAGCTAGTGTGAGTCAGCACACACACACACACACACACACACACACACACACACACACACACACACACACTCACTAACACAGTGTACTAGTGGACACTAGTAGTTTCTTTAATACCGTCCCTTATAACTCAGAAAAGCTATTTTAATACCCCCACTAGGGGTCGCCAGAGCTTCACATGGGGTCGCAAGGCTCTCTTGATTCAAGAAAACCTAAAAAAAATATATAGTACATCTCAACATTTTATTAATTTCTGTAAAGTTTAGATTATTAATTAAGATCTCAACTTACAGCATAAGAGCACATTGAAGATCTGAGCACAACCTGTATTCACAGAGCCTTCACACTCTGATAAACAGCCTCATCCTGCAGTAGAAAAGTTAAAACAATCAAAGAGTTAACAGAACAATGGCCAAACATCAGTGATCAATGTGTTTATTTTGTGTCAGTGATGTTTCCACTGAAGAGACTCTGCCAGGATGTTGACTTTAAACATGATACTGGACACACACGCACACCTGTTTATTTGGTAAATCATTGTTGTCACTAGGACCCTGCTCCTCTGTGAGCTGAGGAAACTCTACAACCTTTAAGTTTAGACAAAATAATTTGCATAAATTCAGAAAATGAATTGTTGTCAAGCTTAAAATGTTTTTCTGAGATTATTTTAAGTTAACTTTGTGATGATGTTTTGTTTTCTGCTCTGTTATCCAGGAGTAATAAAGAGTTAAAGAGTTATGAGACACCTCTGGCAGATGATACTGAATATGAATTGTTTGTGTTGATGAATTTCCACCTGTTCCATGTTTAAAAACAGAGCAAGTAATCAGCTGTGTTATCTAATAAAACCACTCTCTCCTCTCAGGTTTGCATCCAAACTGATTGCAGCAGTTTTGGACTTCAAGGCCAAAATCAACACGTAAGTTGAATGAATGAATGAAATGCACACATTAATAAAGCAGTTGACGCCTTTTGATGTTTTGAAGGTTAAATGTTATAAAAGCAGTGCTGGACGATCCTTTATTTCACTAAAAGAAGGAACAGTTTATAGTTAGTTGAGCTGATATTAACTATTAAAAACTAAATCTTAAAAATACTTTTTACGTCTATAATTGAGTCCTAAAAGCCTTATTTTGCAGCACAGTAAGAATATTTCATAACAATAATAATTCAAATCGGCTTATTTTTTTCTCGACACTAGCATAGACTTTAGTTACTTTCAGACTAAAATCCCTTGGTATGGGGGAGATTTCTTAATATTCAATATTTCACTCTGAAATACTCAACTTAAACATGTAAAGACTGTAGTTAAATACAGTCTTTAAGTAAATATAATTAGTTATCAACGGTTAGGAAGGATTTCGGTTTCATACTTTACTTCACAACTCTTGTTAGTGTTACTACTTTGTGGGGATGAATTCAATCAGTATTAGAAAGCACAAACAGTTCAGGATATAAAATAATATCATTACAAGCTAATTAGACCAGCTGCTAATAATTATCTGCTACAATCATCAGAGCCAGTTATGAACTGTCGTCAACTTTGTCCAGCAGCTGCACTAATCCTCCTTTTTAATCTGCTGTGTTACAGTCACGTTCATTAGTTTCTATTTTAGTTCTGTAACCTTAAACCCGTTGGGCAGCAGTCTGTTTGTCTGCTGTATGAAGTCAATCTGAGTCTAAATCTGTTTGTCTACACTGTCTGTATCAGTATCTGTGCAGAGCCAACAGCAAACTACTCAAACCTCTCTGTCATATATGCTCTTTCCCCCAGAAATACACAACTTTATTTGTATAGCACATTTCATACACCAGGGTACTTCATTGTGCTTTACGGGGTAATAAGAAGTACAGATTTCTTTTATTTAATTTAAAAAGTGTTAAAATACAAGAGATTAAAGAAAATCTAGTGCAGTTTGTTCTTTATTTATAAAAATGATATTCCTCCAGCAGACAATAAAGTTTTATACAGGATGCACCGATCTGATATACTGGATCTGCATCTGCCATGACATGACTGGGCCACATTAAATACAATGTCTTTGTCATTATAAGTTACATTCATTCAGTCACAGCAGGCCACTGACTCAGCAATCTCTCACATAAAAATAACAACATGCAGGTTTATAGATTTCTGTCTGTTTGTCTTCATCCCTGTCAGCGGCCAGCTGCCGGTTGAGTACATGCGAGGGAAGCCTCTGTGCATGGAGCTCTACCCGCTCCTCTTCTCCTCCTGCAGGATCCCGGGTCCCAAACACGACTACATCGCCCACCACGGCCGCTCCCGACGCACGCCAACACACATCACCGTCGTCAGGAACTACCAGGTGGGACGAGTCGACAGATGACGCTGTCTGATTACTTTCACCTACTTTGTTCTCCCTCATTGTTGACTCAGCATCTTTGCGAGTTAAACAACATTGCAATCTTGTTGAGTCTTGTGCAGTCACACCTTTGCTGCCTATTTATTTGGCTTCTTAAGGCCTAAACCAATTGCGTAAACAAGAGTTACATGACCGCACAAGAAGCTATTTTGGCAGCAGATCATCCTGTGAGATCAGAGATTTTGGCAGAGAGAGGTGTCAAAACAAATCTGATGTGCTCTCCACCTTTATTGCCCTTCTCCTGTCTTCATATCAGATAAAACCACTTGAGACAACTGCTTAGTCGTATCAGTTGAGCTCCTGATGTTACATTTGCAGTAAATTTAAAAAGAAAAGAATAGATTGAGGTCTGGATGGATGGATTTATGCGTGATCTCATGATTTTGTGATCTGTCCAGCTGCCTTCCAAGGTGAGTGAAAAATGCCACAAACACAACTTCCCAAGCCCAAATTTATGTCTTAATATTGCTTATAAACATATATTCATTATACTGTTGTTGTTACTGGAATAAGGAAAACCAGTAAATAGTCACATTTGAGAAGTCAGGACCAGTGAATTTGTGGCACTTTTGCTTGAAAACTGACTTAAAAAATTATCAAATCAAAATAGTTGCCAATTGATTGACAAACTGTTTAATAGAATTTCATTGTTAAACACCCAGAGCCATAAACGGTAGCACACACACAGAGAGAAGGAGGAGGCCATCTTTGTCATGTCTGACGTGACATAAATCAGATGCTCTGACGAAGTCCATTTGGCCGAAATGTTAGCATGTTTAGCTGACATCTGTGTGGGTGCTACCTTTTATTCATCCTGGATATTCAACATCGGAACTTAAAAGACTTTGGTTTAGCACCACAAACAAAATACTGTAAAGATTTCTAAGCTCTAACTATTCAATAGAATTAATAATAAACCAAAATGTTTTTTATTTTTTAAAGTGTCACCGGATCAAATCTGTCTAGTATTCAGTTTGTGTTTGCAGCAGCAGCACTGCAGATGTCAGCGTGGGTGGTGATTGTGAAATAGAAAAGCTCCAGAGGTTAAATTAAACACTACAAATACGTTAACTGTAAACACAACACGCCCAAAGACAGTCTGAAGCACAACATTGTATAGAGTGGGGGCTGCTGTGGTCAGGTGACACCCACTGTTGCCCCAAACAACACAGAAAGCTTCACCCCTCTTAACATCTCTCATCAAATCACCTGTAGAGGACAGACGTGACAAATATGGCCTCCTTTTTCTCCGTTTGTCTTCTAGTTCTTCCAGCTGGAGGTTTACAACAGCGACGGCTCTCGGATGACGGAGAGTCAGATCCACAGTCAGCTGCTAAGGATCCGGTCTCAGTCCTGGAAGACGGACAAAGAGCCGATGGGCATCCTGACCAGCGAGCACCGCCACACCTGGGGACAGGCGTACAACCGCCTGCTGAAAGGTACAACACAGCACTGTCAGATGGGTGCATGGGTTATATACTGTTAAAATATAGTAGGAAAATGATGGTGGGTTTATGTTCCACCTTCCAGGGTTCTGTTGGTTTCCTCTTAATTTCAGGGCATCTTTATTGGATACCACAAAGATATGACAGTAAATTTAATCTTTAAATACTCTGTTTCTTTCCATTTTGTCTCTGTGTGTGACTCAGATAAATTAAACAAGGAATCAGTGCGGCTGATAGAGACGGGACTTTTCTCCTTGTGTCTGGATTCTCCAGTCATGAGGATATCAGATGAGAAGTATGCACTCACACACACACACACACACACACACACACACACACACACACACACACACACACACACACACACACACACACACACACACACACCCCTCTGTCTCATTATCCACACTCAGGTATTTCTGTCTTTGCTAAATACATTGTGTAATCCTTTGTGTGTGTTAAGATATCATTGTGCTGTCTGTTGACATTCGCTCTTAAGCAACAGTGTACAATTGTCACTTCCTCCATTTGAAATGTTGTATCTAAGGAATGTTACATAGGTTTAAATGTCTTGAATAATTGACATAATCATTCTTGGAGTCACTGGCAGTAGTGGAGTTAGTTAGTGGAAGAACTACTGTACAGGGAACTTTGATTTTTTGTTGATTCTGGCGTCCCCTGTGGACAGAAGTGGTAGTGTTTCTTTATTTTGTTTTCTTTATTAAACCGTTTCACAACCAGTTAAAAACTCCTTGAAATACCATTGTCTAAATACTATACTACTATATATATACTGCATTATATTGCAATTGCAATTAAAGTAGAGGTGTATATAATATATAATATTCTGTTTTTATCACTAACAAATACATGTAAGAGCATTTTAATGTTGTCAACGTGGGAACCATTTTAATACTTTGTGTACTACTGAGTAGATTATTAGTATAGTGTTGCATCCTATCATTTAAGTATCTTATATGTTACTTTATGTTAAAGTAACTAGTTACTACAAGTGTCAAATGTAGCGAAGTAAAAAGTACAGTGTTTCTCAATGAAATGTAGTGAAGTAGAAGTATAAAGTTGTATAAAATGGAAAAACAATTTTTTCATAGTATGTTGATTTTGTATGTTCCAACTTTGATTGACAGGTATGCCAGCCGTAAGGCCGCACAGGTTCTGCACGGAGGTGGGACGTTCTCCAACAGTGGGAACCGCTGGTTTGATAAAACGTTGCAGGTGAGAAGCAGGAATATACACGTAGGACAAGGAAAGGTTAGTTTAGACCAGCAGCTAACTGCCAACTCTTGTCTGTGTTGGATAGTTTGTGGTGGGTGAGGACGGCTCCTGGGGTCTTCTGTATGAACAAGCCACAGCGGAGGGTCCGCCCATAGCAACACTGCTGCATCATATCCTAGATTACTGGTGAGATAAAGGGTTAATGAGGAGACATGATCATATCCTTGTGTATTGTTGCTTAATGTATTTCTTTTGTATTTAAACAATTTTCTTTATTAACTAGGAATACATGAAATGGAATTCTTTCAGCTGATACAATAGCCGATAATTACCTGCCTCTCATGGCCAATATCGATATGATATGACGACATTTTAGTATCTTAAAAAGAAGTTTATAACCTGTAGTTTATGTACACCTGAGGGTAAAAAAAAAGGCTGAGATGTAGTGAGCAAAGATAGAGGATTCCATAACTAAATCTAACTAACATCACTATTGTTAACAAAAACGAACAACAGTTCTGAGTCTTCAAAAGATTTTTTTTTTCTAGTAAAGTTCCTTTAAAAAATATACTATTTGGCTTTCATAGAACATAAAGCCTATTGAACATTTTGCAAGAATAAAGAATAAAAAATAAATACTATTAATACGTATATTTTGCATAAATGTGTATTTATAATATAAATATTATAAATAAATTATTATTATCAATATCCTGTGCAGTTATTTCCCATCAACCATATCAGTATATAAAACCGTGTATACACTGTACACATAACTCTTATTTTTTTTCTGCATGTTGTATCTTGAGCTGCTGTAACAAGCTAATGTCCCCAATGTGGGATCAATAAAGTTGATATTAATTCTTATCTTAACTGATAATTTATCACTCTAGTTAAAAGTTATAATTTAATTATCTAAATACTAAATAATAATATAAATTTCCCTTTAGCGGCTGATTATTTATTGGCCTCGATAAATATCTTACACCCCTAATATTTTCGTATCACTTTGAAACACACAACTGAATTCAGTGTGTTTATTTGAGTCTCATCCTGTAGCATTTAAATTGAGCAAGGCGAGAATTTATCTCTCACTGGTTAAAAGCAATTCCTGGCATGTAATCCTTTTTTTATCAGCCAGTAGCAAGGGGAAGTTAAATTTAGACACAGCTGACATTAAAGTAGTGTTAACTTGTCTGTTGGCTCTAAACTTATATCAAACTCTTAACCTTGATCCTATCTTGCTTGCCACAGCCTGTTGAGACTGTCACAATCCACCAGAACATGTATTTTTTTTAATTACTGAAGCTCAATGATACTAAAAGTTTTTACTTTGTTAGTTTTTAAGTTTCCACACTCATTTGGAAGACAGATTGACTGACATTTTTCTCATGAATCTCTGTAAAAGGTTGCTGGTCGCTGACAAGTTGCAGCTAAATGTCTCATTACAGAACAGGCAACCAAATGCAGAGTGATTGTAGTGAAGAAGCATAAACAGATTTAGCCAAAATGGATCATTATGATAGAATATAAGCTGGAAATGGCTGGATTTCTGCTTTACATCTGCCTTTCTCTTGAGTAATTCTGTTTTCTTGACTGCAGTGAGAAACCAGACCCGAAGAGAGCCCCGCTGGTCCCTCTGCCGATGCCCAAGAAGCTTTACTTTAACATAGGCCGAGAAATTAAGAGAGACATAGAGCACGCCAAGCAGAACCTCGACATGTAAGCTTCTCACTTCTTCTTGTGACAGGGTGGAGTGTTTGAGTGTGAATGTAGAGTCTGTGCAGAATGATAAGAGAACAATGGCCTCGCTGCACAGTGTAAGCTAGATGTTTGCTTTTGCCTCAAAATCTAACCATGCTGTAACAAACACAGCCCATGGGAAAACCACACGAGTATAAACAAATTTATCCTCTCTCTGTGTGAATGTAACCTTGATGAAAAGAAAGCTGTCATTAGCTCGCCTGACTCTTATGATCACTTAGAAGTTGTTATTGCGATCCGGGCTTGTCACACAAGGCTTTATATCACTACTGTGTAATTTCAGAGTGCTCTTAAATCATCCAGATGCCAACATCTAAAGGAGGAATTAGCTTTTTCTTACATGCACTGTTGAGCTGGACAGATGTTACCTCCGCACAAAATACCTTGAATGAGCATCTGTTTACATTACACATAATATATAACACTTTAGCAGGGCTCCAGAGTGCGACCAACATTTTTAAGAGTGCAACTAATAATTTTTCTAGGTCGCACTGGTGCACCTGACGCTGCCCGGGTGAAAACATACATTTTTGGCTGTGGTCCTGTTCACCGCGCTAAATTGTGTGTGGTTAAAAATTGCCGAGCCCTGGTCCTTCGGCGACAGCATCAGACTCGGAACAAGAGGAGGAGACAACTGAGTCTGGGTTAGAGCCCGGCTCCGAGACCCAAATTAAAACGGCCAAAATATATTCCTTCAGACAGGACTGGCTGAAACAATTTCCCTGGCTGAGGTACAACAAAGGACGTAACGCAATGCACTGCGTGTACTGTCAGCAGTGCGGTCAGAATATGGCCGGAAATGGTGCATTTGTGAGCGGGTCAACAACGTTTCATATCGAACATTTATTTGGAAATGTTTGATTTTGCTTAGTGTTTTAGTTTGAAATTTAGTTTCAATTTCAGTTCAGTGAAGCACTTTAAACACTTTATTTTTCTTTTTATATATAATTGTGCTTCAAATAAAGACAAGCATTTCTCTACACCATATTCTTGTTTAAAAATCATTCACATTATATGAAAGTTATGGAGAGCAATAAAAAGGTGACCTTATGGCATTAAAGGTGATGCAATGAAAAATTTGGGTGCACCTAAATTTTGTGCTGGTGCACCTAAAACAAAAAAAGTTAGGCGCACCAGTGCAACCAATGCAAAAAGTTAGTCTGGAGCCCTGCTTTAGTTACATTAGTTAATTTGCTGTGAAACACCGGAAGTTCTTGAGATTTTATTGTGAACACAGAATTATGTTTTAAATTGCCCGCAGACTGATCAACGACCTCGACGTGAATGTGTTCAACTTCAAGAGGTTTGGCAAGGATCTTCCCAAGCAGCACAAGCTGAGTCCAAACTCCTTCATCCAGGTCGCCCTGCAGCTCGCCTACTACAGGTCAGTGACGTCATCAAATATTCAGGTCACAGGATGTTTTTCAGTTTTTGTCTCTTAACTCAGATCAACATTAATACCACAAATGCCTTATCTTAATCGTTTGTTTCTGTATTGTTTGTGGTTTATACTGGAACGTACATCAGTCATCAACCTACATGATTAAACACTGAAGTTATGTTGTTTTTTAGGGTTCACAATGAGGTCTGTCCTACCTGTGATATCGTCTCTCAGAGGATGTTTCGAGGAGGAAGGACAGAATATATCCGCTCACCCACAAATCAGACACTCAAGTTCATCCTTGCCTTTGATGATCCATCTGTATCGGTGAGAAACGCCTGTGAATTGTTCCACTGTGGATTCATTTGAACTTGTTTGGTGTCAGGTGATGTATCAGAGAGGATAAATGTGGTTTAGCTTGTAATCATAGTGTTTTTTTCTTTTATTTTTTGATGCAGCGGGAAGCAAAGGTACAACTGTTCAGAGAAGCTGTTGATGCTTATGCAGCTCTGACTGATCAGGTAAATAACAAGTAAACTTTCAACAGCTTTTGTCATCTGCTATTGACTGATAAACACTTATCTTATAGTTTTTTTTCCCTGCTCTTTTCAGGCACTGAAGGGACACGGCATTGAACGCCACCTGCTGGGCCTCAAGCTGCAGGCCATCGAGGAAGGACTGAGCATTCCCAAAATCTTCATGGATACAGCCTACGGCCTGGCAACGCACTGGAAACTCAGAACGGGGCAGGTGTGTATTTATAGGGTTTAAGCAACATTATGCAACTTTACTACCTTAAAAGAACAGCTTCAAAATCAATTTGTTGCTGAGTTGTAATAGGGTGAGTGGTGCCTGTTCTTCTCCTGTTCTGTTACTGTTTTGGGTGAAACTGGATCTTATTTTATGGAGAAAATGTTTTCTGGTTTTCCCTCTGATGTCCTCTGGCTGCTCTGCCTCAACCCTCTGTGATTTACAGAGTTTCCTGATGGACAGTAAGGTAAACTGCCGCTAAATGTAGCTGCTGTTAGCAACTCAGCTTAGCCGTACTAGTGTAGTACATTGGTATTTACACCGGTAGAACAGCGTCTTTGGTCCGCCGGGAAGAGGAAGTTTTGGTCAGAAAATTTGTCGACTGGCTGGTTTTTGATCATAAGTAATGTAATCTATAGTGTTTTTGCACTCTGAAACTGGGGGCACCAAATCACACAAATACCAAATCTTTCATGACATTACTTTTAAGTTTATGTCTTTGTTGGTTTGAGATTTAATTTACAGTAGGTGCTGACAGTCCTGTAGCACAACAGGAAGTGGGAATTTTTTTTATTTTTTTTATGATAATGTGAATATGTAAGAGGGAATTTCATCAGCAGGTTTCCAGTTGTTCTGGTGCATGTGATGTTTCTTAATGTGATGCATTTACTGTCGGTGTATTTTGGGAGTTTCCAGCAGTCAAACTGCTTATCTTCAGTTTTTTTAATGATGACCTTCAGACTTATTTGCTCCGCCACATCCTACAGTAAACGGCTGATTTTGCTCTTGACATCAGAAGCTCATGTGGTTTTTATGGCCGGTTGTAATTTCCCACTTTTACAAGTTACATTTTGTGTTTTTACCCCTTTTACAATGTAACTAGCTGCTGTGTATAGTAGTTGTTCTTAATCTGGTGATTCACTCTGGATTCATCCTGCTTGATCAAAGTCAACACTTTCCACACTGTATTCTGTAATTTATCGTATAATTTAAATACAGTGCATTGAATAAAGGACAGGAGTTGTCACAAGTTTTTATGTCAAGGATAACCAAATAGGTCTGCTTTAATAGGATTTAATTTTAAAGGATTTTGGTTCACAATTTGAGAAGGTTTTTGTCCTTACAGATTTGAATGGTTAAAATGTTGGGGTTTTTTTTACATTTATTCCCAAGTGACTTAAAACGCTTGTTTTGTCTCTAATATTCTCTGGTATTTTGAAGTCTTTGTTCTAAATTTGTTGCCTGTCTTATCAAATAATTGACTAATTGTTTCAGCTGTATAAATATCGGTGTCCAAATTAATGATTTGAAGTAAAAACAAAAAATATTCAAGATTTGTTTTCAGTCACCCAGTCTTAACATTTACATTATATCTATAATGGTGCATTATATCATGTTATCCTCTCTCGTTCTTTCAGGTGCCTGCGAACACAGACAGCGTGATGTGTTTCGGGCCGCTCGTTCCTGACGGTTACGCCATTTGCTACAACCCGCAGGCAGACCACGTCCACTTCTCCATCACGGCCTTCAACTGCTGCGAGGAGACACACGCAGAGACATTATCTCTCACCCTGAAGGACACCTTGTGTCAGCTACAGGAGCTACTGCAGCCTACTGTGTAGAGCTGCTCTGATCCAACGGGATGAACCCACTCTTCTATACCTGGGGGGGAAAAAAACACTTTATTTTCTTAAAACAACATTTTGTAGAAGTCTTGATAAGGCTTGTTTATGACGTGGATGTTTTCTTGTGCATGCCATGCAATGCTTCAGTAGAGCGGTTAAATCTGAGACCATATTGAAGACACAGTCTCTGATGTGCTTTTGATGCTTTTTTAAAGCTTTTGATGAAGCCATAAATCGCTTTCCTTTTCTAGCAAGAGCTGAGCAAGCACACTGCATTATAGTCTCTACAATGGGTACACTTGGAGGCATCTAATGCTGCAATATCTCTGGGTGAAAGCAAAACAAAGTTAAAGCCAGCCTGACACTAAGTCATTAATCAAAACAAGAACGTGTTTAAACTGACTGCACTCCTTTCAGAAGCCACAGGACGAGCAGCAGCCTTTATTGAGAATGAATATGTTTCATGTGTTGCTCTGCCATCAGAGTTTAAATGTTTATGGAAACCATTGATTTTGTAGGTCAACACGTCTGTTTGAAATGGACCAAAAGCTAGAAAGCTGGTTTATTAATGGTGCATGTATGTATTTACTGTGTTTTGAGATGAGTGTGAAGAGGCTTTGGCCTTGAGGGGGTTGTGTTGTTCTGTTCTCAACCTGCAGGACTGGGTAATAAAGCCGGCTGTCACATGGTTTCTTGTTTAAATGAATGTGTTTATATGTGTGTGTTTGTGTGAGAATATGACCGTTATTAAGAAACGTGGAGTACAAACACCTCAACTGTTTGCCAAGCTTTTACTGCACTGCCTGTGTAATAGCATCCTGGAAGAGATCAGATAGCTATTTCGGTTATGCAGTAAACCTCATGAAGCCGTGCTGACAGTGAACAGCTATAAGACCCAGGGCAGGACTACCAACCAGAACCCCAGACCCTCTGTCATTTTATGGATTTGGAGGAATATGCACCACATAAACAATAATCTGCTGTACTGTAAAGGAGTGCTGTGTCAGTATGACAAGATTCATATTCCTAAATCTAATTGTGTTATTACCACAAACAGGCATGATGAGACCGAGGTATTTAAATACAGCAAAATTTCCTCTTTCTGTTCCTGTACATCCACTGCAGCTCATCTGGGAAATACAAAGATATCCACTTCATTTGAGTAATTTGGACAGCTGAAACCGCAAATGAGCTTCAGATTAACTGTATTTTTACAGGGAATGAGCTCATTAGGAGGGGATCTTTATTTGCCTGTACAGCAGGAATGATTAGAGCAAGCAAACCCTGTTTCAGTGTTTCATTCCTGCATTGTTAATCATTGATTCTTACTATAAGTCTGTGTCAGAGGTTTTGTAACTAAAAACTAAAACTAGGTTTGTAAAACATTTTAGTTAACTGAAAAAAAAACAGATAATAAAACTAACTGCAAAAATATCGTGTGCTTACAAAACTAACTAAAAACACAAGCAAGAGGTTTATATGTTTATTGAGACTCGGGCGTCTACATTACACAAGGTTTGTATTGTAAGACCTATTGAACTTCTTGACCCTAACAAATAACTTCCATATTATAATAATGAAAATCCGAAACTTATCAAAACTAAACTAAAACTAAAGATTTTATATAATAAAAATAAAAAAAATAAAAACTTGATTGAAAATACAGGAATAATAAGTCACTGGATAACAAGAGAAAACATTTAAAAAATAGGACTAATTTAACGTTATTATGGTATTATTACACAATATATATAACATATATAATCAGGGGGGGGGCGTTATATGTCCCTGCTACTGATTGGTCGAGCTGTGACCGGAAATGACGCCAGCAACGTCCGTATCACTTAATTTAAAACCGGAACAAACAAAAGAAACCAAAGCAAAGCCCAGCAGCTGCTCAGAGTTTACGTTGAAGTGTTAATAAACAATAAACACACAGTGTGTGAGAAAACAGGATTATTTAAGGGACACTGACGAGCGGACTTCGGCTCTTCTTCACCTCCGCTTGGGGAAAAAAAAGAGAAAGAAATGGAGATGATAGCACAACGTTAGACAAACATCAGGATTTTATGTTTTTATTTTATTTTGCAGGCTTTTATTTAGTGTTTTTTTAATTTAAATTTTTTTTTTAGTTATAATGAAGGGCTCCAATTTTCCTGTGTCGAGGAGGAGGAGGAGGAGCAGCGGGGCGGCCGGGCTGCTGTACCCGCTGCTCGGTGCGTGTCTCTGGGCTGCGGTGGTCGGGTACAAGCCGGTGATCATAGTGCACGGTTTGTTCGACAGCTCAGGGGATTTTAAAAACTTACAGCGGTTCATTAACGAGGTGAGTGGTCGGAACAAACAGGGGCTGGCTCATAGTGATGGTAGATATTTCATGGAGAGCAAAATAAATCTATTTGATGTTACAGAGGTTGACCCTATACATTATGTACTGCAGGCCTTACAGCTTGTATAACCAGATGTTATCAGCTAAACGTGGAGCCACATCATGCAATATGTACTGTGTCACATCATTCAGCTTTTATCATGATGATAGTGGAGTAATGGAGTCTTGTAATGTACATTGAATTAGTTTTCTGCATTATTCCTGCAGCAGTACCACAGGAAAGTGAGTGGTTAGAGCTGTAATGTAAAGTTTGTTCTTAAATAAAATATAGGTCAAACTATAATGAGCCAGTCTGTTGGTACAGTACATCTGTGAGAGGTTGGTTGTGTGCAAGAGGTTTTATTCTGTAAAGTTGTCAGCACAAGAGTTCAAACTGTACAGTGAAATGTGCCCTTACCTGCTTTTCTTCTTGCATCCACACACTCTTTGAAACCTACACACACTTTGAGTGACCTGGTGGGGTTGAAGTGGATGTACTGCACAAAGGAAGTTTTTTGTGGTGACTGGCAGGATTGATGAGGTTAAACCAAAGTTCCTCTTTTTTTTCACATCTGCTGTATTAGAAAGCCTAAAACCATATTTCTGGAGGAAAAAGAAAATCGAAAGCGGAAATTCTGACCGCGCTCTCTCTGCTTCAGTTAGTCTGTACTCCTGCCTTCTTACCAAACAACCTAATGAATCATCAATATTTGAATATAGTAGCTAAACATCCCCATGGACCTTTGATATCAGAGGAGCTTTGCTGTCCAGCATTGCTTTTAATGCTGAGGCGAGCATGTTATTTCCTGTAGCTGTTTCATGCTTCATGCAACAATATGAGGAATTAATTGCACTCAGGACCAGCACAACCTGTTCATGATGTAAAATCATCATCATAAAACCATCTTCTTCTGTCTCCCGCAGTCTCATCCTGGAACAAATGTGACGGTCATCGACTTGTTCGACAGGAGTGCCAGCCTGCAGCCCTTGTGGAAGCAGGTGGAGGGATTCAAGGCAGCTATTTACCCAATAATGCAAAACGCCGCAGACGGGGTCCACTTTATCTGCTACTCACAAGGTCTGTGAGTGCATTTGTGCAAGTAAAATAGAGACATAAATGTGGTATTTGCTCAAGATTATGAAGCAGTCTCGGTATGTGTCTTTAGTTACAATGTCATTCTTGCAAACACTGACCTCAAAGTGACACTTTATTCTGTAAATTGTAAATATTGCACACATATATTTAAAAGATGGGGCTTTACAAGACTCATTGTTTGTTGTTTTGTTCTCTGGATTAATTTTTGTGGGGATTTTTTCTTGGGATTTCTGTTTCAGTCAGGAGTTGGAAATTCCCAGCCAGCAGCTTGTAATTCATAGAAGAAGATACATACTTTGTTGATCCCCTAGGGGAAATTCTTCTTTTCACTCTTTTTTTTTTCATACTGTTAAATGTTCCAGTTAGTAAAAACCAGGGGAAGAAATATATATGCAGATGGCAGTTTTTGTTTCCCAACATACATGTAAATTACCCATCTATTGCCACAGAACATTAGTATATGTGTGAGGAACTCTCAGATTATATTCAGATAATTTCCACATTAAAAAAAAAAAGTTAATGCTACACTGAAAATTAAACTGAAATGTATGAACATGAATGTAAAAAAAAAAAACTTCTTTAATTGGAAGTTCTTTTTTAGGAATAACTCATTGAGATGTGAAATCTTGTTTTCAGGAGGGTCCTCAATGACAAAAAAGTACTATATTCACAATTACACAAAATATTTAACCAAGATAACAACAGTATAATTAAACTAAATGAGATAAAAACTTACAGAACCATAGAGATAAAAAAAACGCACAAAAAAACAGTAAATATCAGGATAAAACCAGAGGAAAATACACCAGAGTGTGAAAATAGATAATTAATTAATTGTTTAGAGTGGTGATATTAATGTTAGTAAAAGCATTATGTAATTGAGTTTTACAGTGCATGCAATGCTAATTAGAGCTGAAACAAATAGTCCTTTTAATCAATTAGTTGAATGAAGGAAAATGTATTGCCAACTATTTTTATTAATCATTTAGGCAATTTTTCTTGAATTTTTTTTCAAGCCAAGACGCCAGAAATATCAGTTAATTAAATATCTGTAGGTTTTTGACTAACAAAGACCTTTGAAGATGTCACCTTTTGACTTACAGAGATTTTAATGTGCCCTATCACCTTTTCTTGATGTTTTATTGTCAAAAACAATTTAGTGTGATCCAGAAAATAAGCAGTTTATTTTGAAACGATTGTTAGTTGCAGCCCTGAATATAACAATTGCATACATTTTTGGGGGTTAGAAAATGAGTTCTTCTCAAATTTTCTACGTTAAGCATCATGAAGTTGTACTTTCCTCATAAAAAGCCAAGATTTTCCAACTTCCAGCAGCACCACATACACAGCAAGTGATAACCAAAGCTCCAAAGCAGGTAAAAAGACTGATGAAAAATCTTTTTTTTTTTACATTATCACAGGTGGGCTGGTTTGCAGAGGAATCCTCTCCACTCTGTCTGACCACAATGTTCAATCTTTTATCTCTCTGTCTTCACCTCAGGCCGGGCAATATGGAGGTGGGTTAACCTTTTTAAAGCTTTTTAAATATTTTATGGAGGATGGATAGAATGAATAACAAAACAACCACGACAGCAAGGGTATAAATGAGCAAATCACAGACCCTAAGGGATGGATAGGAAAAAAAATATTAGAAAAAGAGAGAAAAACTAGATTACACAGAAAGACATTATACAAAAATCTCAGATCTTGAATACATTACACAGATTAGGGTAGTAGTATAGTATGACTTAGTATACGACGATTCAAAGCAGTGAGACACCACGTGGAGATGATTATAGAGTTATGTTCCTGTGAAACCCCAGAAATTCAATATCAGAGGGCCAGTGCCAAAAGGAGTATATGTAAGACAAGTACCTGAAATCGATGTTTTTAGAATAACAGTGTGTCAAATGACAACATAAAATGGATCGCTTGTGGAGATGAAGCTACAGAGAATTATCACCTGACTTTGTGGTGCTTTATAGTGCTCATTGTTCGGCTGTCTGCCTGCAAGCTTCCTGTTTTGATTCATTGCTCTCAAAGGATCATCTAAAAAAAACTAGCAAAGCTTTGAGACTTTATTTCTATTTGTGCCGGGGGAAAAAAATTAAGCAACATAAATGATAATGTTTCTCTGTAACTGCTGGATGTTTAATGTTTGCTAACACCATATCAACTTTTAAAAGGTGTTTATATGTAATTGTTGTGTTAATAACTTGTTTCTGCTGCCCCCAAGTGGCCAAAAAGATCAGTTATTACAGCTTTAACATGTTAAAAACTATTTTCTTCTCTCCAGCTCTCAGGCTTTCTCTTCATCCTGCTCTTTGTCCCTTGTTTTCCCTCAGACACAGACTACCTGAGGTACCTCTTCCCACAGTTTGTGAAGTCCAACCTCTACCACCTCTGCTACACTGCAATTGGTCAGAGGATATCCATCTGCAACTACTGGAATGGTGAGAGTCTGAAAATAACTTTCTCATGCAGTTGACACACAAACGGTGTGAGTTTGTGAAGCAAGAAGTTTGACATACCGTGTTGTTGTCCTCTCTCCTCCTCCTCCTTCTCCGTCTCCAGACCCTCACCACAGAGACTTATACGTGAACAGCAGTGATTATTTGGCTCTGCTCAACAGCGAGAGAGCCAATCCTAATTCAACAGGTCAGCACATTCCTTGTGGGTAAAACTCATCCATATTTAATGTATGTAACTATCAAAGGCTGTATCTCTTGCTTTATGATGCAACAGTGACCAGTTTTGACCTCTTTAGCTTGTCAGCATAACAATGTTCTGCAGCTGCTTCAGCTCCAAATATTTTGTGTATACAGCTGGTCCCAAGGACATCAGAGTGCTGAATAATAGGAAAAGAACAAAAAACAAAACAAAATAGCCGGGGGGGTTCCACATTTCCTTTCTTCCATGAAATATCTTTATTAATGTGTATACCTAAGCAAATAAAAATAATATTTGAAATTAAATGTTCCTTAACATATATATATATATTTACTGTGTTTTATGTCTCAATCTCAGAGTGGAAGAAGAACTTCCTGAAAATCAAAAAGCTGGTGTTGATCGGAGGTCCAGACGATGGAGTCATCACTCCCTGGCAGTCGAGGTGAATTCATCTTCTGTCTTCTGATCTGACATATGATTTCATTTAATGATCTTACAGACAAAATGTTTTTACGGTAATTAGTAGCATATTTGTAATGTTTTCTACCATATATACACTTGAGGCACACAGTTGCACAAATCTGAGTGGTGCTAAAATGCCTCTGAAGGACCAAAGTTAATTACTTAATTGAATATTGTTCATACACCTCTGTATCCCTGATGAAGTCTTTTCTCTGCTACAGCTGAGGTATTATTATTTGCAGTTTACTTTGATTCAAATACACTGATTGAACTACAGGTTTGCAACAGTTTTCTCCTTTTCTGTTTATTTGTACAGCTTGAATGCAGCTTTTTCTTTACCAGGGTCACACAGTGGAACATTTTCTATGCTGATTTCAAGCATTACTCGGCTATGCATGATGTGACTTTGAATTTTTTTAGGGTGGATTATCAGATGACTCACGTGACACTCACACTGTATAACCTTCTGTCTCTCTCATGATTTTTAGTCAGTTCGGATTTTATGACGACAATGAGACCGTTGTTGAGATGCAGCACCAAGATGTGAGTAAAATCACACAACAGACACACATATACAACACTTTTTTAAATTTATTGTAATGATAATTAGAAATACTTTATTATTTATTTATTTATTGTGTCATATACAAACCCATTTGGACCTTTTTTAAGTAGAAAAGCAAAATCTCCCCTGACAAACACAGAACTTCTTACATATAACGTTTACATTGCACACAAAGATCTGCTGTCCCACTTTCACAAATAAAATCTGCCACAAAAAAGGTTAACTTCCTCAATCATGACTCAAGTGTCAAATAAATATAAGTCTTTGGAAATGAGGGACATTTTATTGTAGCCCTTAAATCATCATATAAAAAGCAATAAAAATATGAATGGACTCGTTCTTCATCCTCATCTAGATCACATAACGATCTAAGCCTTTGCTCTTCAGTAAGAAAATCAAACCTGCATCTTTATTTAGATTAACACAGAATGTGCTCACAGAAATATTAGAGTTTCTGCTTGACATGAGGATCTACAATACAATATGTTTATTATTTAGGTTTTTACCAAACATCAACAGACCATCTTTTCCTTATACACTGAGAATCATTGTAGCCTGTTTGAAAACTAAAAATTAAGCTTCAGAATAAATAGGTATTGCTTTGGGATAATGTACCCAGTTTGAAGAATTAAAAAAATGAACATGAACTTAGAGAATCTTTCTTTCCCTGTTTCAGTTGTATTTAAGAGATGTTTTCGGTCTGAAGACGCTGGCGGCTCGTGGAGATCTGATCATCTGTTCTGTTCCCGGCGTCGAACACGTGTTTTGGCACTCGAATGAGACGGTGTTCCACATGTGCATGGAGAAGTGGCTGGTGTAAAACAAAACTCTTTTACAGCACACACACACACACACACACACACGTGTTAAACTCTGCCTCTACAACCACTGTAAAGTATCCTCGCAAACATTTGTGAGTGTACTCTTAAGGATGTAATCTCATTTTTTTGGATTACAGTTAGAAATTACTTTGACATCAGTGTTGCCAGCGTTTGTTCTTCCTTGTACTTCCTGTACGTGGTCTTTTATGCTTATCTTTGTAACTATTAGGTTAATTTAAAATGAATAGTTTGACATTTTAAGGCTTATTTGTTTTCTTTTAAGGGAGTTAGATAACATGATTCATACCACTCTCATGTATGTGCAGTGCATGTCAAGCTACAGCCAGTAGCTGGTTAGCTTAGCTTAGCATAAAGACTGAGGGTAACAGCTAGCCTGGCTCTGTCCAAGATAACCAAATCTGCCTAACAGCTGTACAGCTCACTAATTATACAAGCTTTGTGTTGTTTGTTTAAATTGCACAAAATATGAAGTGTAAAAAGGTTATGGGGGGTTATGTGCTGGACTATTTCTTAGCCGGACACAGTTACTTTCTGGAGTCTTGTCATCACTGTGAGGTTGCCAGGCAACCAGAGGAGACTCCAGGAAGCTAGCATGGCCAAGAAATAACCCTAATAAGGATAGCTGTTTCCCCTTTTTCCAATCTTTAGACTACGCTAAGCTAACAGCTCATGTTTATCGTTCAGATGTGAGAGTGTTATCAATCTGTCTTCTCTAATTCTACGCAATTAAACTTTACTTAAATTATTCATTTTTTAACCGCGCTGATGTCGGACAAATCAGGCACATCGCTGTGTGTGTTTGCTGATAGGATTTTCTCAGAAAATAAGTACAAGGCACAAACTGTCAGAAGCAACAAATATAAAAGCATTCTATAGGCTTGTTAAGTTTAACATTGAAGGAGCACTTCAGCAATTTAGTATTGTTTTTCTATAAATTAAAGGGACTTGTAAGAGACAGATTTATGAAAAAAGGGTCAAAAATCAAATGTAGCAAAAGCAGATAGGCTGAAATATCCTGGCTTTTATTCCCAAATTAATGCAACTCAGTTGTACCTTTTTATTTGACCTTTCCTGTCTGACGTTGGCTTTTTTGTTGTTTTTTTGTCTCAAGCTGACTAAAAATTGGTGAAGTGCCCTTTTAATATGAAAATGCAAGTTTATTACTTTAAAATACTGAGCCCACATACATACAATATCCATCCATGTGTGTGTGTCTGTGTGTGTTTGGTCACACATACCTCAAAACACCACACAACACAAGAGTGCCTGAGCGACGTTCTGTCATCTTGTCTACATGTACAGAATCACTGCCCTGCTCATCTTACTGTATGATGCAGTCATTTATATCTATCTTTCTACCCTTGCATTTTTAACCCTGGGGTAGGGGGTTGGGGGGTGGTCATGTTTTTAGAGTGAATATCATGTTTATTCTCATTATCATGCAGTGCTTTGCAGCTTTAGTAGATTAAGCCTTAACTCTTCCCCACATGCCTCAGTGTTTCATGTCCCATACCGAAGTGCTATGATACACTGCCTTTAGTGAAGGTGCTAAAATGGATGGAGAGGGGTGGAGAGAGAGAGACAGTGGCCAGAGAGTGGCAGTGCTATATTAGTGTTTACTTGTCTACCAGACTTTTGTACATGGCCGTTTGTACCTCCCATCTCATTTAGATATCTCAGGCGTTTTAGCAACCTTCATGTTTGTCTGTTTTCTGTCAGAAAAAGGGATCGGTTTCTCTTAAATGTTTGTATTCTATTGGATGTTTATGGTTGCCTGTTGTGCTTATATATGTTTCCCAAAAGAAGAATGGAAATATCTTTTGTGTGATAAAACAAGACGTGAATTAAAATTTTTATGAGCATAGCAGCATTGCACAATATTTAACCAGATAAAAAGAAGGGAAATGATGAGGATGGGATGATTTTAACTGTTTTAAAGTTGTTAGATTTGCAGTATTACTTTTAATATTGTTGCATCCTTTGTTTCATGTTTACTTGTACAAATTAGTTGACCTAACTGCATATGGTAGGTATTTAAGGGATGTCCTCTGTGTTTTCTTGCTTTACAAACAGTAATTGTGGATATGGACAATTTTTTAAAACCCAAACAGAACATAGTATTTTGACACTGTCCTACAATTTCTACAGTACTTGGTCTGCCAATGAAACTGTGTCAGATGTTGTCAATTCCTCAATAAAAGACAGTTTTGAACGTCTCATATTGTCTTAATTCATCTCTTTTCATTTGTTTCAGAAAATACATGACCCCTAAAAAAACTGGAACAGTAAAGTGAATAATTATACATCCTTACCATAAATTACCACTCATTTGTGGGATAATTTATTTGACATATTCCACTTATCACAAATATAAATCAGCATATAAGTAAAGAGAAATTTGAGTACAAAAATGAAGAAAGAGTTCCTTATATTTCTTTATAGTTAAATTCTGATTTTATTAGTATACTTACTACTTAATCCTCTTAGGGCCATGTTTTTTCTTAAAAAAATATACTGTAAGCCATTCATTATCAACATATATAATATTTTTTGCTATATTTGGGTTGTTTGGGTGAATTTTAATGAGGTGAGTGAAGTTTACTGTTTAAAATGTGCATATGTGTTATATTAGCTCTTAGTGTTATGTTTTTGACAAGTCAATTTTCAAACTGTAAAATTGGTAATGTTATCTTGTTTGCAAGTGAAAAGTAATATATTTATATATATATATATATATATATATATATATATATATATATGTATTTATATATATATATATATGTATTTATATATAGTTATTTGATGTATTTATATAAAAACGTATTTATATATATAGTATTATGTTAGTTATTTGATTTTTTAAAAACTTTAATATTGATGTAAATCCATAAATGCTTCCTTTGTTATCAATATATTATTTCCAACGACTTCCAACTACACCCGGAAACTTTTATAATCATTTTTATATATACTATAATTTTTAAATAATGGCCAAAGACTACAACTCCATACATGCTTTGCGCACCGGAAGTAACCAACCAGCTCACCGGATATCTGCGCGCGGCGCCCCGAAAAGGCCCTTTTCCGTCTCAGAGAAGTGTGGTACAGGACGGCAGACACAAGTGAGTGAAAAATACACATTTTCCTCCCTTCATATGTCTTTAAAAATATTTTTCTCGGGTAGTCAGACGCGGTACTGACTCCCGCTGTCCGAGAAACAAGAGAAAATCATCTCCGTTTTGTCGGAATGTGGTTTTATTTCCACATCAGTGTTAACCCTGCGAGCACAACGGCGCGGAGCGTTAGCATGTGGCTAGCTCGCTAGCACATGTGGATGCGGCATGTTGATCAGCCACCTCGATAGATCTCACTCAATACTCCATTTCACAAAATGTTGAGGTCGTATACGTACTGTGGCCGTGTTTCTCCACAATATAAAATACTATCAATGTTAATCAACGTGTAATGTCGACGTTTTAAAGTCTTCGTTAGCTGGTCAGTTGACGTTGCTAAAGTGAGCTAACGCTACGTTAAGTCTGGAGAAGTAGGCTTCAACCGAGGCCCTGCTATGGGAGTGTGGCTGTCATGTTGTTAATTTGTGTTAATAGTTATGTTAAAGTGATCTGTGCCAGGAACAAATATGTAGGTTTTTGTATCGCTTGTATGTTAACGCCGGAGAGGTTAGCCAGAGAGTGGTTGGAGCTGCAGTATCGATCCCAATCAGTGTAATTGTTACATGGGATTAATGTGATTTATCATATTGCCCGATGTTGTTGTAAAATAAACAATATGGTTACATTCAGTGATGATAACCGCTTCATTCTGTGATCGATATCAACCCGACAACTAAATAGTTTGCTCATGTTATCATTAGACAACCAGATGTAACTTTAAGGAGTTTCCAATTGCTCTAGCTGTCTTTAAAATATATATTTTTAAGGGGGAAAACTGGGGTACGGGCCAAGCTTAATTAAGTGAGATTTGACTTTTTCTTAACTTTGAATTTCCTTTGCTCTAATTGACCACTTCCCTTTTTTTTCATCCTCAGTGACTGAGTGGGAGACTGCCCCAGCTGTGGCTGAGACCCCAGAGATCAAACTCTTTGGCAAGTGGAGCACCGATGATGTCCAGATCAATGACATCTCCCTGCAGGTAAGCAGCAAGCGACAGATGTTGCTTTTATTTACTGTGTTTAATGAAGTGCTTTTTATCAATGTAAAGCGAGGCTAGAGTCACGCCTCGACACTGACCTGTTGCCTTGGTGTGCTAGAGTGCTCGCAGAGGAAAACGTCTTTGCTTATTCATTGGCTGTAGTCTGTTGTGACCCAGTCAATCACCAACTCAGACACACTACCCTTTTCATACCTACTGTAAATCAACCATGCAGTGTTCAAATCTGCATAAATCACGATGCTTAAACTACCACCTGTGCACTACAGGATTACATTGCTGTGAAAGAGAAGTACGCCAAGTACCTGCCACACTCTGGAGGACGTTATGCCGCAAAGCGTTTCCGTAAGGCCCAGTGCCCCATTGTGGAGCGTCTGACCAACTCCATGATGATGCACGGCCGCAACAACGGCAAGAAGCTGATGACCGTGCGCATCGTCAAGCATGCCTTCGAGATCATCCACCTGCTGACTGGAGAGGTATGTACCACTAAGTCTCGTTGGTGCGTCTTCTTATTCTTTGTACCTGCAGCGTGATTAGGCAATTAACATCAGCTCAAGAGAGCCATCATATAGTGAATTGTGACACGGATTTTTCAGTCTTCAACTGATACTGTTGAACATAATTTAATTGTAATGCATAATGGCTGTTTGGGTTTTTTTAAGCCAGGGGGGAAAGCCCTGAATTTTCAGAAAGGAGCAGATCAGCATTAGTTGATCACCCAATCTCCACAGACCCAATAGTGATTTCTTCTCTTGATTTAAACAGTAAAAAGGTGGAGACAACTCATTATGCTTCCATTACTTAAACTTTAAGAGAAATACAAATGAGCTGTTAATTATGCCACAAACACCATCAAAGTAACTAACTCAAAAACAGACCATTTATTGTACTGTCAATGATATTTCACTTGAATTTTTGCACACAATAGAAGTAAAAGTCCCAGATAAGTTTAAAAAAAACAAACACAAAAAATGCTCTCTTCAAAGTGTAAAGTGAGAACCTGTCGGTAAAACACAACATTGAGCAGATTATCAGCACTTTGTCAGGTTTCAGTTGGTGTTCAATGTCTTTTTCTTGATGTTACCACATGTACATTGATTTGTGAAATTTCTTACTACTATTTTTACATTTTGTTTCCAGAATCCCCTCCAGGTCTTGGTGAACGCCATCATCAACAGTGGACCCCGTGAGGACTCCACCCGTATCGGTCGTGCCGGTACCGTCAGGAGGCAGGCTGTGGACGTGTCGCCCCTCCGCAGAGTCAACCAGGTAACACACTCATTTACATTCATTCTCGGTCTTTCTAGGACAGACGTTGCTTCATTGTGTAGCATTACAACAAAATCCTCTCACCCAAAGACCAGACAAAGTATTGCGTTTGTATGTATCAATTAGCTGTAAATTGTGCCTATTGTAAGTGCAAGTGGGAGAAAGAACTCATTTTAATACAGTGAACTACCTGACAGGGCTGATATGAGTTATGTTTTTGTTAACAGCTACAAATAGTCTGTTGGGAAATAAGGTTTGTTAAGAATTAAATAATCAGTCTTAACCCAGCCTTTTCATTTCTGTGTATTTTTATTATGAAATTGTTTGTATTTGATGCATTAAGCGAGGCTAGAGTCACGCCTGGACACTACCATTGCCCTGGTGTGCTAGAGTGCTCGCAGAGGAAATATCTTTGCTTATTCATTGGCTGTAGTCTGTTGTGGCCCAGTCAATCACCAACTCAGATACATTACACTGCCGGTCAGTGTTTGTTCCACCAAAGTGAATTTGTCAGCCTGTCTCACCCACTAATGTCCTGCTCTGTCTTTCTCATCTCGTAGGCCATCTGGCTGCTGTGCACAGGCGCAAGAGAAGCTGCTTTCAGGAACATCAAGACCATCGCCGAGTGCCTGGCTGATGAGCTGATCAATGCAGCTAAGGTAAGCGTTTATCCATTTACAGCACGTAATCAGCATTCTGATTTATAGTGTAATGTAGAATAAGAAGTACTGTTAATTAGTGTGCTTTCAAGTAGTGACCTTGTTAGCGGTCAGAGCTCAAATTTAACATTTTCTTAGGGTGGTCTTTAACTGGTCCTGCATTTATATTTTGCTGTAAAATGTATATTTAACAATTTTTCCTTATTCCAGGGTTCATCTAACTCTTATGCCATCAAGAAGAAGGACGAGTTGGAGAGAGTTGCCAAGTCCAACCGTTAAACATCTTTGCTTTCTAACAAAACAAATAAATTTGAAGAAATTTCTCTTGATGTCATGAGTGTTACTTTAAATACACACAACTTCTTGAACAGTGAACAAATTACACAAGATAACTGATCATTGAGTTGTCAGTGGAGTTTTATTGGCTTGACTACACCTGCTACAAATTCATACACAAAGCTAAAACACTTATAAACTCTGCATTATTCTTAGCAGCTACATGTTCTGTAATTGAGACTGTCAGTAAAACTAGTACGTGAAGAGTAATGGAATAGGATATGTAGACACAGGAGACTATACACTGTCACAAAACTGCAGACATACATTTGGGTACCACAGGATATCTGCAGGTCTTAAAAAGCTGACTTTAGTCTCCTTTAAAAAGTCTTAATGTTCTTGTGCTGTTAGCAGTGATAATGTACATTTTAGACTTAAAGGTCCAGTGTGTAGAATTTAGTAGCATCTAGTGGTGAAGTTGCAGATTGCAACTAACTGGCTGTATAAGTCCATTTAGACCCTGTGTTTGGTGTGTCCGTTCTGGGCTACTGTAGAAACATGGAAGGCGACCTGTAGACAAAAGCAGCTCATTCCAAGGTATCAAACACTAATGAAAAACACTCCTATGGTCATATTCAATTTCTGCCAATAGATCCTACTAAATGTTACACACTGGACCTTTTAAATAATCACTTAATTGGTTCATCAATTAATTTTATGCTGCTTTTCCAGGTCGTATGAATTGTATTATTACAAACTGCTGGGAAGTACTGAATAATTGTGACAAATAATTGAAGGTCGTATCATCCCTGCTGGTTTTCCATCACACTTTGGTTGGT